GAACTTGTTATTTCCAATCGCGCTGAGAACTTCAAATATTTTACGATTTGGTTTTATTTTTATCGGTCAACTTTCTTAATTGTTTTTGTTTGTTATTTTTTTCAACCGCAGATTTTATCATTGTAAATGACGCGGCGGTCGATGTGCATGCGTACCTATTTGATTACCATAATGGAAAGCGTCCGTTGTGTTATGTCGTCGACTGGACCGGGGAACTGATGTTCTTGAATTCCACCCTGGTCGTAAACTCTGTTCACTGAGGCCTTAACGGTATTTCTCATTAAAATGATTCTACCGAGTTTTGGTTTATTTTATGTAATATGAAAACGGCCTTGAGCTCGGGTATGAATGCATTTTACTTTTAAAGAGATCGCATATTATGCACATGCACAACAATATCATATTTGTTGGCCTTTTTATTAAATGAAGGTAAAAAAAAAATAAAAAATACTTATTTTTTTAAAATTTAGTATACATTTGGTTAATGTCATCTCTAAAAAAATTATGAATTCAATGATTAATTAGTACAAAACTAAGTAGCACACGATGATTATATTATTGATTATCGTGTTGAATATGCTAAGACTACGATGATGTTAAACTGAATGTTATACCTCACGATGTTTCTTTTTACGAATGAATAGTACTACTATGATGTATGACGAACAATTTTCTTAATAGGAATTTTGCTCAAAATTAAAAGAGGCTTCTTTTGTTGAATTTTGGATCTAGACGGTGTATTTTTTTCAATGCACCGTCTAGATCATTTTTTGATTTTCCTAGTAGTTTTCATAATAATCGGGAAAAACCGCAAAACAACGTAAGAAAAAATTGGAAGTATACGACATTAATGATTTCATTATTTTCTACTTTTTTTTTTTTTTAACAAGTCAAAATAATCATAGATACCTGAAATTTTCACAGGCTACTTAAATTAGCCATAGACGTGTTAAAATTAACAATATATTTGTGCTTTTGATAGGCTTTTAATATATTCGAGGATTTTTTTTTTTAGTTTAGACGAAAAGAAATGCTTATTATTATTATTTTAAGACAAAGTTCATTATAAGTTAATATTTGTTGTACAAAAAAAAAAAGGTTTAGCCAAAAGTAGTGTTTTTTTTCACACATTTATTTTAAAATTCAAATTTTAATTGAATCATAAATAATAATAAAAAGATGCGGATCAATTAATTAGCAACTTCCCAAAAAAAAAAAAATAAATAAATAAATAAATCCTGGACATGCCACTGGTGGTACTTAATACCTATACCTAGCTATAAAATATTGTATTATAATAATCTATTCAATATACGTGCACATTTCCGGCGGATCGTATAATATAATATCGAAATAGAATATACGAGAATGCCTATAAGTCTCTAACTATAATTCCGAATCTATAATAGTGAAAAAAATCACCGATTGTCAGAAACACAATTTATACTGTCTCGATTCGATTTCATACGGTATGGGTTTTTTTTTCCCTCACGATCGGTTTCCACTTGTTCAGAACAGTATACCTACGTTAACAGCGGCTACAACAACAACAACAACAACAATAACGTCGATGACCGATCGCCACGGATCGTAGCCGTTACTGTAATCGTCACGTACCACAAGATATACCGAACCTACCAAAACATAGAACCGTATTACAGACAATAATAATATTAACAGTAATTCGATATTATAACGCTGTGTATGTGTATACCTACATTTGCGTTTTGGTCGTAGTACTTAACTGGTGTTATAAATGTATAACAGGCATATCACTTACTATCTATACGTCGTCGTTGTCAATACAGTACCTGGTATCTACAAAAATATCAAAAACGAGTTGTATACATCAAATTTTACAGAAAAAAAAAAGGCGCGTAATTTTGTGAAAATACTTCGTAAAATGCATCGAACCCGGGGAAAATGTAAACGTTGATACATTATTACGTACACATACAACATCAATATTATTACCAAAATTATCAAAATGTCCGGGTTATTATTTTATGTGATCAAATTGATGATTTCAAGACAAATCGTTTTTCGAAACATAATTTTGTGATCACAAATAAATGTTTGGTTGGACCATTATCAAAATTTAATTTTACGCGAAACTACGCAAAATAACTTTCTGGAAATATCGTATCTTCAAAAGTATTTGTTTCGGGGGCAAATACAATATTATGGAGACTTCCCTTAGCATGTAGATACTTTACAAATAGGACTTTCACTAAATTATAACTTACATTAAAAATACATTTTAAACCCATATCAATATTTCTTTTACTTTCTTCTTATTTAATTCTTCGATCTACCCTTAGACAAATAATGTATAGTTTTTATGACTATATTATATTAAATCACAATCACAATACGTCTACATACTAATGTTACTTAATCCACTCCGCGTCATTGATGACTGAACGGACGATTCTAACGGGTGCGGTGGCGTTAGGTGTACCTATAATCAATATAATTGGAAATACGGAGATTAAAAAAAAAAAACATGTGAAAAAAAAAGTAAGGGTAAAAAATAAGATCTACCGACTACCGGTAATATAGGTTTATTTTAAGATTTAGAGTGTAGCGAAGAAGCTATCGGTTTTACTGAGATGTTATTTTTTCGAAAACCATTATTTAGGTGTGCACCTATGAAATTTTCCAAATTTTTCATAACGCACCTTACAAAATACGAATACATTGCCCGCCCGGCAATAGTTTATTTGAACATTTTCGCAATAGTTTTATTTCTGTCTTCTGGATCATCTTAGCTACAAAAAAGAAAAAGAACCGACTAGTTTACCGTGCTCAGTTGAATATTGTTTTTTGATTGCAATGATTTCAATTTACATAAAATAAAAATTTCCCAAATACCTAATATCTCCTATAAACTTCCCACGCACAATAGTGATGAAATACAAGTATGCCCATGGTGTGAGGTATATCCGGCTTATATATGTGTAATAATTAATGGTTTGATTTTATAGTTAATTTATCTTATTCTATATACGATTTCTACGGACGTTGCACGCCGTCGTTATTGTCGTCAGTACACACTTTTATTTTGGGCATAATAAACATCAGAATGAATATGGTACGCGTACAATGTGAAAGCAACTTTATGCCAAGTCACAGTTGAGGTTGAAGGCGTACGCGGAAAAGTTTTTCAAGCCCAACGATGTCTCGGAAGAAGAAATTCGTACGTTATAAACCGCTCGGTCATCCGACAAGGATGCGATCCACAATAATTAGTATATTGCTCTTGCAGCCTTTCAAAAAAGGACGTCCCCAAAAACCGGTGCATAAAATGTTTAATTTCAAATGGTATTCCACTGAACATTAAATAATTAATAATAATTAAATATATTGTATTTAGATATTATTCCACATAAATTCTGTCGTTGTTTTACAATTAGCCTACAGAGTTAATTATTGTACTTGTATATACTCTTATTATAATATTATACTGTTCGTCTTACCGATCGATACAGGTGAAAAAAAAACTGGGTACTTAAATCTCTTAATATCCATAGTATTTTTGACTCCATACAAATTTCAACAATCCCTACCGAATTGCGTCCGGATTATTTGTCTAGATCATACTAGTTGCGTGCCAAATTTGTTTTGTATAAACACTAGTTTCATCTCGTAAATTATAAGAGCTAAACGATATTTCCAAATGCAATCGACATCCTTAAAGATGAAGGCCAAACTGAGAAAATAGCCTAATGTATTGCCTATTCAAAATCGGCAAAAATACTTTTTGAAAAAAATATAACATTGACTTTGTTACTTTCAAACGAAATGTATAAATATGTAAATCAAATTTCTATCCGATAATATAAAATAGATTGCATTTTTTTTTTCACTATACATGGTTTTCATTTCACTCACTATAATCAATGTAAAAACGTAATCATTTATATTTTATACATTTTGGATATTGTAGCCAAAGGCGTCATTTAAGTTTTTACAAGTTATACTTATCATGCATACCTAAAACTCATCAAGATTGCATTTTGACCTGATTATAATTTTTCTGCGGAGGGAAAATATATATAAATATTTTTTTTTTATTTTCTTTTAATTAGTTTTAAGCTTCGGTAACTATCTATCGGCAACTTTAAAAATATTTGAACCATTTTTGAACTATTTACAGATATTTTAATTTTGCGAGTTTTACGTAATTTTTATTAAGTAGATACTCCATGGATAAAATTGTTAGGCTAAAAAAAAATGCTTGAAAATTTAACAGGAGGTTGATTATATTAAGTCGCACTTGGTACTAAAAAAAAAAGAAGAAAATTGAGTGGACCTAATGACATTTATTTTTATAAGAGTTTTTATCAAATTTTGACTACAATTTTAATTGTTAATATTATTAATTATTATAACGTTATAAATTGTATTCATATATTATTGTTATTAGGTAGCTTTAATACTGGCGTACCGTAGAACGAAGTGAATAGGTTATTGTTTAACCGTTCAGAAACTAAAATGGAGTATTATATTAGGAGCTTTTCAGATCTCAAATCTTAAATTTGACTACTATTGAAAGAATAATCGATTTTAATTTTCAAAATTTCAGAATTTCGATTAATATTTGTTATTACACCCGAGACAGTGTAAATTACATACTATCTTTATTTCGGTGCAAATACAAAGGCATTTCAAAAATGTTAGTGCAAATTATACATGTTGTACATTTTTTGGGTCAATTTCGATGCAAATTGACTAGAGCCCAATTTTCATGGGAGACGATTCGAGAGCGGCCGGTTTTCCCGGTGGACACGAACCGACGGAAAACCCGTTTACCCGTGGCTAGTATACCGCGGAAACGTATTATTATTACCACGCTCGGTCGTTGGGTCCGGTCGTCGGATCGGAGAAAGGACCGCATGGCCGTTGTGCAAGACAACTGCAGTGCCTATTTACAGTGTAGAGTGGGGCAGTCCTGTCGGTTAGGTAAAAGCTACACGTGATGATACCGATCACTGTATGACGTACGGAGCCCGCGAGAGTGCAAGTGTTTACCGTGCCGCGATAGTCGTCTTGTTATCTCGCCGAGAGTGTTTTGTTGTTGTTTTTTTTGTTGTTGTGTTTATCAAAGGCAAAAGCTGAAGAGCAAGACATTTATTTATACCACGCGGGTTCGTCGATTCTGTCACTGTGTCCGTCCACTATAATCTGCACTACTCTCCGCGTCGGTAAAAACTATTGCCAAGATGAAGGTAAGTCCGTTAGATTTTTTTTTTTTTGTTTTGTTTTTTATCATGCGTTTAAGTCTTTAAGGTGGCCTTCACTATAAAGCTTCTCTCGTTTCTGTCTCCAACTTTTCAACGGTCAATTCATCAACAGTCTTGCAGTACCTTTTTATACTCTTCTTCTTCCTTTTTAATTTCTGTTTCGTATAGACATATTTTATCAATATTCTATAACGCCACGCCATGCCGCCACGGGGCCATCGTGTTTAAAATGTCTTTTATTTTTCAGTCGACATAAAACGCCATCAATAAAAGTTCAATTGCATAAGACAGACGCTAATATTTTTATTATGTATTATAATTATTAGACATTATTATTATTATTAATTATCTACCAACGAGAATACGCCTCGTTAATTATACGTTCAATAAATTGTTGAACTTTCGACAAGTTCAAACATTAAACGTATACTTATTTTTCTTATAGTAAGCTATGTATATAGTTTACAATACGTCTACGAAAATGTCAATAATTTAATACGATTAATCTATTAAAACTTCAAAGATGTTTTTTTTTTTTTTTACGATAATATATAATATATACTGACTTTTTAAGACCTACCTATATATTGTATAAACAAATTTTTATTAATTATGAAATCTATATCTACATCTTTGATTCTGGGAAAGAAAAGTATAGAATTTTATATCAACTTTCAATAGTTTTTAATGTAAACAAATTAAATGTTGAAAATTGTACAATTTAGACAAAAAAGACAGACATACTTTGCACGATGGGTGGGCAACTATTGTAGATGAGAAGTTGGGAAGGTATAATATAGAGGGAAATTTAATTTATGTCTGTACTCAACGATAAACCATTGCTAACGAAAAACGAATTGGAGTCAATTATTTATGTATAAAATATAATTTATACATAAACGTAAATTTCCCCGTTATTTCTAGGTTTTTTTCCGATTTTTCTTAATTATTATGAAAACCGCTTGAAAAATCAAAAAATGACCTCCTTAAAGTACCACCTAGATAAAATTTCCTTTAGGAAAAGTTATTCACTGATAAGAAAAAATAATAACAAACATCATTGTAAAATCAATACATTATTCGCTACGCTTCGAATATAAAATAAAAAGAAGAAATTATATTTGACAAAATTATTAAAAAAGAAATTCTAAAAATTAAATTAAGTCTTTCTTCCCTGAAACCAAACAAACCGAATAGGTATATCGATTTTATATAAACAAGTAACAATTTGTTCTGTAAACGTGCGTTAGTTTTCTAATTTGTTAATATATTTGATATAATATTATCTATTCAATCAAATTATAAATACTATTATACGTTAGTATCTGTACACTAGTCTTGCATAATGCTTTCACTATTAGTGAATAATTGACGCGACATCATCTTTATGACTTCATAAACAATTGTGTGTTTATATTATACTTTCGCGGCTGTATACTTAATTACGTACCTATACGAATATTATTCCTGCAACTCTTGCATTCCCGACGGTTTTCCATAAAATATAGAAACTGTCGAAATATTTCAATACATCGGTTTTATTTTTGTTGTTAATTTCTGGGTTACCTAGGCTACGGGCCAAAACACACGACCAATATTACTAATAACTACTTTGCTCAGAAATTTTATTGTTGATTTATTGTTGCACACAGTGTGTTAACTTTAAATTACCCAATTTATCTTTCCTTCCCGATTACTCACCCACAACAGCAGTCTAGCCGTTTATGTAGTATCAGCTTTTTTTTATTGACCTTATAGTTAAATACATATTTATTTCATAATAAAATAATATAGAAATATATACCATGGTAATGGAAATTTCGTGGATTGAAAATTCGAAATACAAGATATAATAACGCTCAAGTACCTCGTCGAAATGAAAACGAATAAAATAACGGAATGATCTCAAGAGGACGCGTGTGCTGTCTCCGTCTAACGGCCGCGCTACGTAGCGAATTTTCGACAGCGCGTGCGGTTAAAACGGCCTCTTGAATTCAAGTTTTAATTAGTAATCGCACATTAAACGTATTTCGCTTGTCAAGCCCCGGTCGAAATAAACACAGTACAGTTAATGGCGTGGAATTTCGCACGGAATCTCCTTTTGAAAATAATCGTATAATGTGAATGCGAAAATCCAAAATTCCGATGGTAGCTACCTAACAATTAAAATCCTCGGTCGAAAGGAATTAGGCGTATGATTATTATTTGCATGTTTCAGACGTCGTCCGCGTAGGTACCTACCTATACTCGTATTACACGGTTTTACCGCCAAAACACCGACCGCAACGTGTTGATGTCCGAAGGTGAAAGTCTGCAGTTGTAACGGCAATAAACATCTCGCGCGAGCTATACGTATAGATAAAAAAAAAAAAAATAAAATAAAAAAAAAATAAAAACATAGAAAAAAAAAACCAGAATACAATAGTAGGTATAATAGTGATAATAATGATAATAGTGATAAAAATAATAATGAATGTAACAGTTGAATGAGTAATTGTCTTTCCTGCGTCCGAACCGCAGCACCCAGCAGCACAAACGACAACGATGACGTAGGTTACGTTTAGGATTTATTTTGACACACGAGAGACGTCACGATAATAATATTGTATATTATAGGCAACGAGAAAAATGTCCCGACCATTATAATAATAAAAAAAAAAGTGACTACATTTACACGAATTGCTCGATTAGAAAATGCCATGGTTTTATGTCGGCTCATGTGTAGGCGAAATTTGCTCGTATATGTGTACATATATGTACATTATTAAGTATAATTATTATTATTCTACAGAAATGTGAATTAAATTTCTCCTAAATGAATTATTATAAACACTTCGTTATTATGTGGCGTTTGCATTTTTAGTGGACGGGATTTAATTTTAAATCGTCCGTATTCATAAATTATAATTTTTATTTGAAACCGGTGCGGAAAGTTCTAGTTTTCGCCATACTATATATATAAAAAATAACATGCTACGTACGGTTCTATTTTTTTTTTTTTTTTTAAATCTGAAAGTACCGAATACCGAAATAATGTTAATGAATACCAGTTATTTATTTAATACTAAGCTGTCCCGCACGGCGGTTAACCTAACCCCACGCGTTTGTAAAATATTAAAATTATCTATTTCATCGGAAGTCCCATAGATTAATAACCAGATTTCATAATACTAGACATATTTTATGTACCGTAAAACCTTCAAAATAACAAAAACGAAAAAGTTTTTTTAGAAATTTAAGAAAAAACAAAATAAATCATACCCACTTATTGCGTGTTAGTAATAATTATCACTAAAATCTTGAAAAATAACGCTAAAAAACGAATATACTTCAAGATCCGAAAAATAACAATATAAAATTATATGTTGTGAATCCCAGGTATACATAAAACAAATGTTTAGCTCTACTATTTTTATCTGTATCTTATAATAATTAGCAAAACGCTATAAGATCACGAACACTGCAAGTAGGTAATAATAATAATAATAATATTCTGACCAATTTTTCCCGGTACAATCTAAGAATGGTAATGTCTATCCCCGTGTTGCACCTCAAATACCTAAAAATCTATTTACTAAAGGACGGCATCTAGAGATATATCAAAAGACGATACAATATGCCGAGTTGCAAAAACGACTTTTATCTTTTAACGATTCGGCAATATTATAATAAACTCTTATCACTGGCGTCGTTACGTTTGCACAATAATTTACAGGTTCCTTCTGTATCAAATGAGCTCCAACTCGGGAAATAGAAGATTTTTTTAATAAGATTAAAATTAAAAAAAGTTATATTGAAATTCGATATGAATTCAATATGAATTTCATTACGTTATTGCAGGGGTAGGATTGTTATTTAGCTCTGAACACATGGGTGTTCAGAATCCTATATAATCATCTACAGATTCTCAAATCAAAGTGAAGGCATTTTTTACATAGACATTTGATGGAAGAAGTCACCCAATAGTGACACTATCGTGTTCAGAATTTACATAGTTAATAAAAACCCAGTAATAACAAATGTTATTATAATAACAGTAAACGTCATTTTCGTCATTTTAGAATACATTTTTTTGAAATACAAGTTTTAATAAAATAATTAATATTTTTATAATAATCTCGGTTCAATGATTGACGATCCGTCCAACTTAAGAAGGGCATAACTTGTTTTATAAAAACAAAAAAAACGTCAAGTCCTCGGTAACAGTTGTTTTGGACCGCGGCAAGTTTGATAATGTTTTAAAAAAGAAACCCTAATGAAAATAAAAATAAAAACAGTTATGTAAAATGTAATATTGTCGACTTATCTTGTTCAATATTATTGACTCAGGGGGCAAAAAATTAAAAATATTTTAAACAATCATGTCTTTTCTAGCTTAACACTTTTCAATAAAATCCTTTGATATCAACACAACTTCCTTTCAACTGTATCTTTCTCTAACTCATTTCAGGTCTTTGCGGTTATTTTAGAAATAGAACAAAATTGAAAATTACAGATACAGTTATTATTGCGTAAATTTTGCCGTTTATCCAACGTTTTTTCTCAATCATTACAAAACTTTTAGGGAAATCAAAAAATGGCCTCCTCAATCCGTCAACTAGACAAAATTGGAACATTTCTACAGAAAGAAAAATTGTTCACAGACAGAAAAAAAAATATTACAAGTCATTATCCACTTCATTTAAAATTAAAAAACTTTAATTAATTAAGCTTAAAATCAACTCGTTTTAATGACGTATTATATATTTTGAGTTTAAAATATTGAAAAACGGAATTCAATAAAGGCTACGGCCCTTGTGAAGACTTTCTACAGGAAGTCTTCCTCTTTCCAACAAAATAATAATCGTCATAACCAGGCACATACTCTACAAGGCATATGAGAGATTTTCCCGTAACTTATATATTTTAGAACAAAGAAAGAAAACGCGCTGGCACGACTGGTTTCTTAACTCGACTGTGTGTTAATAACAAATCTATCGTAAAAACTAAATAATCAAGTTAAAAGTTAAAATTAACTTTACTTTTAACTTGTTAATTCGTCGTAGACGTTCAGTCTCGATAATAATACTCGTAATATTAATATTAATATTCAATATAAAACATCAAGTCGGTGGTGGTTAGACTTACGCCCCACTGGTAGAGCTCGAGGACACCGGTGCGCAGTGCCTGGCGCCCAGGTTTAGAAAGCATAAACGAACACGTGCGCGCGGAATCCGGCCCCCACACGTAGATAAATACGTCGCAGTCGACTAGTAGTTTCATAAACAAATGCATTTTAAAATATCTAGCTAAAGATAGTAGAAAATTGTTAAAATAATTATGTAGATAGTAATAATAATAAAAAAAAAGATAATTTTGTTCATTATCTAGGTACCTGTGATAAAACCAACTGCTTGATATAGGTACCTATAGTAAAAGCGTGCTGCCAGGTTTGGTACGCATCTAGATTTCAAAAATGTTTTGTGATTGACGTTACTTAATAATGTATTTATTTATTTAAACCTTATTAAAATAAATTAAATTTTTTACCTATTATTTACAATAAATTGCAATTTATTATTATCCGGATGAGATAAAAAACAAAAGTATACTTATCTAGATAAAATGCAACACTGGTCGACTGGCCATTCGCGATCCTCTGACTGGATTTCCTATTTCGTAACAATAATTAGAGTTCGACACGTGTCGTTTCGGACGCCGGCGATTTCACGTGACCGAAAACGTGATAATAATATGTTTTTACGCCACCGTATTGCTGTGGCATCTGTGTGTGCTAAGTATTAACAAGTTTTTTTTTTCTTTTTAACATGGTCAACACGGCAATACGTCATCGTACGTTATAACATTTATCGTAACCATACAAAAAAAAAAAAAAAAACTACAACCAAATATTTTTAGTATTCCCGTGTTTAATCGGAAACAATATCAACCCTTTTAGCTGTTCCTCTATTAATATCATATCGTCGAGGACGGACAATGGTCGAATAAACGTATTGGAACAACAGCAGGTAAAAAGGTGTGTTCCATAGGTAATGATAGGTCCGCATAGTTCCATCCGTAATTTATTCTCAAAAGTTTTCAATATTCGTTCTATTGGTTTAGTTGTCTCCCAAGTCTCTCCAACTATATGTCGTAGAGTTGATCTTTTGATTTTAATAACGAGTAATAATATTTGGCCATCCGGTATTCTTTCCACGTCGATTGTAAGAATACTATTTTCAATTTCAAACTATTAGGATTAACCCTTAAACCAAATAATTATAGTTACGAATGACTTGTTAATTTTTCGTTCGCTTAAACACTTCATTTTCTGTAATCCCTCATCCCTTATAATTATTAAATTTGTTTTTTATTTTATGTGTCCGAAAATTGGTCAAAATTCGACAACGTTTTTAAATTTTTATGTTTCAAAGATTTAAGGGTGTTTACATAGTAACGTATCCAGGAAGTTAAAGAGGCTTCCACTTCCATTGGCCATGTCCAAGCACAAACAAATAATACATACTATTCTACATTGAAAACCTATTACTAATAAAATAATAATCCTTGCACATTAATTGTACTCAACCAAGACCTATAAGACTCAACCGACTATCAAATACAAATAATTTTATTGTGCTCTACAATTATGTATCTTGTAATATAACCCCAAGAAAAAGGCATTATAGAATATAATATGCAAAATTATTTTATTAGCAGTATTTGTATTTACTATGTTTAGTCAGCCCCTCAATGAAAGATCCGGGGTAGATACACCACTTCCTAGACAATCATCATCCACACATGTCACGCAAATTGATTTATATTATTTAATTAGCTATTCTGCCCAGAGTTGCTCGTACCAATTTAATTCTCTAATTTTTTTTAAACAGATTTTTTTTTTTTTTTAATTTTCTTCAAAAACCGAAACCAATAACAGAAGTTCAATTTAGCGTGTCTCCCCGTTTTAGCCCCCGTTCTATCACAATTAAAGGTTTTAAAACGGGTACTCCCTTCCCCGTAACAATAAAATTAACTAATAACAATTGTTAATGAATTTCACTGGTGTCAACGCACGGTATAATGAAAAAAATTAACGAAACTAATTCGATTCGTTCCCAAAACACCAAAAACCCTAAACGAATCGCCCTTTTGGAGTTCGATAATGTCGGGAATCCGACTTCGCGGTCTAGTTACGTAATGTTGCGATACTTTGCGATGTTCGAGTGACCAAATATATAATAGGTATTTCGTTTCGGTTAAGCAAATCATCAACGTTAAAACAAATTATTCGAAATGTCGTAACATTATTATCTTTCGCTAATACCGTACGATTACAAATAAGAACGATTAGGAGGCCTCTAACGCCCCAGAATTTCGTTATGTTAAATGTTACTTTCTTAAAACTGTAGTTTATTTCAAGGACGTCGCATGTAGTCGTCTAGACACCAGGTCCATCCGGCACCGTGCGTTTTCGTTTGTTTTTCTGTTAACTAATCCGCGTAGCTAACGATCTAATATACAAGTAGGTGTGTACATAATATTATTATAAGTCGTTACCGGTCCAGTATAATACCTAATAATATGTAACCGTTCCCGTGAACACTCGAATTTTCGTTTAAGTGGTATTATAACACTGATCTCGTTCGGATGTTGCACCAAAGGTGAACCGGTTAAATATTATTCCGTCCGGTGACGGCGTGTCGTAACGATAATAATACTGTTCACACAGGAATAAACCGACGCTCCCCACACGATACTGTAAAATATATCGTGGCGCCCGCCATTCGGTATTGTGTAAGTGAATCATTGCATTACCATAACGATAACACTAATAATAATATTGCGGTGTGTGAGGACTGTAATACGTAAAACTGCGCGTTCGATTCAATAATATTTAAATATCTTTCGCGGAAAAATGTTATTTAATATTATAATATATACTATAACATTATGGCATTAGGCCACCGCGCACAGAGCGAGTATGTTAACAGGTTACAGGTACACACCAAATCGTAATGTTTTATAGGAAGTAAATAGACGACGACGGTTTCTTTTTACGGCGTTTTTACACAATTTGTATATTATAACCGATTTAAACCGACCGATTTGTTTGGTGCACATAAAATACTCAATGGTAGGGAATGGGAATGGAAAGAACGTTCTTATTTAACGTAAAATTATCAGTCCCCTTTAATTTAATTCTTCGGGAACGCTTTAGTTGCATAGTCATTTTCAATGAAATTTTAAAAACTCGAATTAGTTTTACTAAAATTCCCCCAGTAACTGGACTCTGTTTTACTTTAATTTAACTGAGCTAGCATGTGTGCAGAATAATATTTGAGGGGGTACAGTATACTTTTATGCCCAAAATAAAAAAAAAAATAACTAAGATGAATAAGATGGTTTGGTATGTCAGAGAAGAATCAAAAGCTTTAAGAATTGTAATGAAAATAAACATAGGAGGATAGTGTAGGAGCGGAATACCGAAAAAGAAGCGGTTCGATAGATTGAAAATGATATAAGGACGGCGGGTGTATGCTTGAACGATGTGGGGGATCGGGTTAAGTGAAAGTATAGGACGAGGGTGGCTGATCCCAAAATATTGGGTTGAAGGTGGAGGAGAATAAGAAGATCAATTATTTTTAAAATGCTAAAATACCTACACCAAAATAACCTTATGAATAACTTATAAAAAAATATGCCACCTTTGTTCCCGGAATCCTTCCCCCCCCCCGGATATAAATGGCACAGATAGAAATGTTGACGATTTCTTTTACGAATTCTGTCGAAATCTTTTATCAAACTTTTATAAAATAAAATCGCATTTACGAATTTTCGATATTTTTATACTACCATAACAATAACTTCTTAGATGACTTGTATATAACTATCAGGTATTATAAGTATACGAAGCCGCAAAATATTGAATTATATCATACAAAAATTTAAAAAAAAAAAATCGAAAATTTCAAATAGCTATAATAATAGCGTACGAATAAAAAAAGGTGAACTTTCAATAGCAATCAATTATATACAGTTGGACATCGTCTACATTTTTATATTACAAAAATTGTTTACGTAGCCACGCGAATTTGGTGAAAAAATTAAATCTGATCAGTACTTTTATTTTTTTGGACGTAATTAAATCAAAGTGAACATCCTTAAAATCTAATTTCATCAATTTCACAAAATATCTTTTGTCTATAATTATGGGGTCCTAATTTGAAGAAATAAAAATGTTCCTATCAAATTGTACAATTTAATTTGCACACACGGGAATTAACCCGAAGATGTTTCTGATAAAGGAATGACGGTAAAATGTTTGATCGTTTATAATGGTTTCTCATTTGATAAGTGCATCTTAGACAATTAGGTTAGGTTAGGTATAATTTAGGTTTAGGATCGATTCACGAATACACATTTCAAACTTATTTTTTGTATGTTTTCACGTCTTGACATACGCTGTTTATCGTAACAAGAATTTGTATTATAATAATATTAATAATACGATGAACAAGAGGTCAGGTGTCTTTTTTTCTTTCCTACTGAATAAGAAATTAAAATTTCTCGGCTCTCTTTCCGGACCATCATCGAGTAAATCCAGTGGTACAGAGGTCAGGCCTTGGCTCGACTTTATTTAAAAATTAAGCGTAAGGCCGCTTCATTTTGGACCGATGTTTGAATTCCAAACCGAATGAAAACTTCATTACATTAACAAAACCCTACGCTTGCCATAGTTCTGAACATAAGATGGGCTGTGTATAGTGATTGGAACCTCTCCAGATGTATTTTGCCCGGCTATATTTTTAAAACGTCGGCACCACTGTTCATACATAAGCAAAACAAATCACAAGTAACACCGCTCCGCAATAACATGAAAGCGTTTTCTACCTTGCCGCGTCGACGTAGGTAACGGAACTTTTGATCAGTCATTCGGAACCTCGATTATATTATATTTGCGGACATAGAAAAGCACAATATTCGATTAATATTTATATACATACAGTTAAGATATTATTATATCGACAAAAAAAAAAAAAAAAAAAAAAACAAGAATTAAATAATCCAATTTCCTTTCTATGGACGACGTCACGACAAAAGGCAAACGCTTTCATACTCAATTGGATAATAGCGGTCCCCCTTTATAAATATGCTTATATTATACATTATTAAATTCAGCGGGTTCGTAACTTGTAGCTCAAAAAAAAAAATTGTATTTATAAACGCCATAATACATATATACCTATACACTCTTGAAAACATGCATATAATAATATAATAGCGCTTCGAGTACTGAATATCGAATTCTAAATTGTTGGTCTCGTCTTTATCTCGATTTTTTACTAATACGAATGAATAGAACATTATAACGAAAAAATAACTTCCCATAATACAACCTATAGGAACTTTCATTAGAATATTAGATATATAAATTTCACCAATGGTTTATGAATAATAAATATTTCCTGTGTAAAGAAGAAAGCAAGGTCTACGATGTTAAGGGTCAACCATAATTTTTACATTACGTAATATTATTCGATATTCGTGTAATACACTGTTTCTAGTAACACACCCACAATACAGAAAATATAAGCAAACCAGATACAAATAAAATGTAAAACTGAAAGTATACTGAAAGAAACTGTCTAAAAATCTGTAAAACACTAGTGTTCCGGTGTCACTTAAATATTTCCAGTGACAGATTATTTTGTTTTTTTTTTTTGTCTTCGTCAATCACAGAATCGAATTAAATATTTATAGACTTTAGTAGTTTCCGAACTGTGTTGTGTTTTTCTAAATTTAAATGTATTATATCGTATATCCTATATAGATAAATGAAAAGTGATAACTAATAGTGATAACTATCTGAACGGGTATTTAAGATTAATAATTGAATCATCTTAATAAATCTTTTTAAATCGTAATTTCTATATTAATTAAAAATATTAGATAAAATATTTAATTTATAATAACACGATTTAATAAATTAATTACCTATTACGTTATATTACCTATAATCACTTAAATTTTTTTTAAATCTAGATGTATACCGAATCTGGTAAGCGTTTACCACTTTAAACACTTGATTTTATCTAAGTAATGTATAAAATTATCTAACTATAGATAAAAATTTGCTGATTATTATTATCTCTATCTAGATAATTTATTATTCCAGCTATTATCTCTTAATGCCTTTATCTATACCTATACATATTATAATTTATCTTTATACAATACTAAATCTGGATTATAATTATATTATTGGCTATCGAAATCGATATAACAGATTCATGGTCTTACTATCAATATTCACAACGATAATATACACAACGTTAAACTGTATTATAAAATAGATATGTTATTTGTTGATATTTTATATAATTGGTCATAGCATAATATATTATTATCGGTATCTCGAAAGTCGAACGTTTTAGCGGAATATATCGCTGTTAACTTTACTTTACTTCAATGGGCGGTAATAGTAAATAATATTACATACCTAATAAATTGCATTAAATGCATCGAGTTCATTCGTACGAATGTTAGTGTAAATAATAATGTGCCATTATCGTATTAAATACAGAGTGTATCTGCAGGATTTGACAATTTCCTCTATGCAATTACATAGGCAGTTGTCAAATACTGCAGATACACCCTGTATATATGTAATATATGTGTAGTGTAACCATAATAATATGTAAGCTGTAGTGGCTAATAAATGAGGTAACACGTTACTTTCATTTTAAGATGACCGGAACTGGCTACCTACCTATACGTATCAGGATAAACTGGTTTTGTAATAACAATATTAACCGAATCTAAACTTTCTCCTACCGTAGGTACTGCAATACTGTATTGATATATCAAATTACTATTAGAACTAATCATCACATAACTCACTAATCACTATTTTAAGACATTGAAAATGTTTCGAAATTCACAGAACGAGTCTTCGTTCGTTGTTGTTATGGTATCCTATATAACGAAATTAGTTCTGCCGTATACGGCACGCGCTTATATTATTGCGACAAACCGATATTTTTATGATTATGATTGTTTGATTATTATTTTTTTATTTTTCTATATAGATCTTCGTGCTGACAATAGTTATTTTCGCCCTAAACGGTTACGTAACGAGGGCGTCATCTCTAGACCCCACCGAAACGTTCGAAATGGAAGACATGATGAACAACAGCAACGAAGACACGAGGAACAAGAGGTCGGGATCAATTTTTTCTTCGCTAATGAATAAGAAATTAAAATTGCTCGGCTCTCTTTCCGGGTCGTCGTCCAGTAAATCTATGGGTCATCCGTCCGGTCATTCGGGACATTTCGAACAACCACCATTGGTAAATGTAGTGCAGTTGTGCTTTTGTACGACGCCTATAACTGAGTGTTTTTACCGATTAATTTTCGAACAATGTCCATAAAACGGCCAATAATGTACGAATATATTGTTTTTTTCAGTCTTACCACACGAAATCGTTCGATTTATGGGGCGTTAAAAAGGCAATATTTTCGTCGGTGCTGCAGGCCGCCAAAGCGATTACCGGCGGAGTTATCGCCCTGAAAGGTCAACTCATCAAGGCCAAAGGACACGTGGTCGTGGCCAAAGGGAAGCTGCTGCAGAACAAAGGACAAGCGATTTCGAACTTCGGTCAGACAATCGCGACACACGCGTTCGACGAGCACCACGAGCAACCGCCGCCGGCACACTCCAGCGTGGGCTTATACAATCATTTACCCGCTACGCCGGTACACCAGCCGACCAGTAAATATAATATTCCGTCAATTTCGTTTTGTTATTATTGTTACTTGGCGTTTTGTTTTTCGACATTTCAATACCGGCGTTGTTTTCTACGATTTGATCAGGTTACGGGGCTCCTTCCGCCATGGGATACCAAGAGCAGGTCTACTCGAATAACGGGTATCAACCAGACGCCGGATACCACGGATCTCCGCGTTATCCGACGGCGCCGGCGTCTACCGGATACGAAGGTGGTGCCTCGGACTATTCCGGACTCGGCGGAGGAAACGGTTACTCGGGAAAGAGAGCGGTGCAAAACGACGGGCATAAACCGTCTATGAATCAACTGACTGGTGCCCGTGAGTATCTCCGCATTACGGTTATGACGCACACTATTATGTATCGCTATTCAATGACGTAGCCGAGATTTTTAATAGGAGGGTTTAACCGTGACAATTTAAACTTAAACTCAACCGCCCGGTAAAAATTCAAAGAAACGAAGAGAGAATGAATACAGCGTGTATCCCGACTTCTGTTATTTTACGCCCCTTGTGTAGCTTTTGAAAAAACACGACGAGTAACAAAAAAAAGTTATCAATGTGTCGATAAGCAAACAAATCTTATTTGATACCCGATCCCCGGTCATCATTACATTTTTATTTCTTCCCTACATTATAAAACATGCATTTTCCTTCGTAATGACCGCTTGCGCCCAGTAATGCGCGTACACATTCCCCCTGTCGGGAAACATTGGTACAAGCATTACCCGATTCACGCGAGAATGTTTTAAACGTGGAAATCTGGAAACAGTGTCCATTATTTGTTGTTCGCATCATAAACGAATAATTACTAACGATATCGGTGTTCACTAATCGTTAATTAGTGCGTGAAACAAAACCCGTTATTTAGATAGGTAGGTGTACATTAACATGATTGATTGATCAATAGTATAAACATGCACAATTAATAACGCGTCTACGATTCAATCCGTAATGGACATTATTGTTTATTGCCGCGGACTTCAAACCGACGGAATTATTTAACGAAACGCCCGCGTATTCACGGTGGCGAATTTAAGGAGGGGGCGAAAAGGACGATTTCCGGGATCGAAAACTGTTTTAAGGACACTGGAATTTAAACGATTTTAAGCGGACGATTTTAAACAAAAGAGGAAAACGAGGTCGGGGTAAGGAAAATCAATACAATTTTTAAATATGGGTGTACCCGTTTAAATGGGAAACATTTGATTTTGCACGGGGCGTTAAAATCCCAGATTCACCGCTGCGCGTGTCTGAAGTAACATCGTATTAAACCATACCGGCTGAAAACATATTTATAGCGAGTCGATAGTAATTAAATTACATAATATCGAACTTATATGAATATCTGAAGGGACCCCATATAAGGCACACTTCCGTATGTAGAGTGATACTTTCTACAATTTGGCAGTTTTTTTTTTTTTTTTTATCATATACGTGACCAGTATTTACGATTAGAGCCACGACGTATGTACCTCTCGAGACACGAAAACATAAATATTTTATAAACGTACTATAGGTATCCCGCCCGGTCTTGCCCGTTTCAGTGTATGGAACAAACGAAAATTCAGGTGACGCCCAAAAAAATGTACCGATAAGCGAAATAAAATATAAACGCGTCCGTTGAGCGTTCGGTGGGAGTTTACGCACGTTTTTTAAACCAATTTAAGGTGTGCGATCGTATGAATGCGTGTTTGTACTATTTTTCCAGGGTATAATCTAATTCGAAAATGGGTATGCGCCGTATACCGCCATACACTCAAAACCCGAACAACACTGGGTGTGGCCGTTAAATGATAGAATAGTGAATGTTCCAAATTTCACGTTACAGTAAAATTGTCCATGAAACACCAACTAATTTTTTTAACAAATGACTTGTGCAAAAACTCATCGGAACATTTTCCTTATTTTTATCACCCTTATTTACGGGGTTCTCGACCGGTTACCTATTTTCGATTTTTAAACAGAAACCCATATTGAAAATTCCATGAATAGACGAAGTACCAGTTTAAATACGTGTTGTTGTTGACATTTTTGATTTCCGTCAACCCGTTGACAAGACATTTCACTTTGGGCGAGGAGGAGAATAGAAAAACGTAACTCGTGTGGCGGCGCAGCTTGCGGCGGCGTTCGAATAATGTTCCGCACGGGTCGACGGAAATCAAAAATGTCCACACTGAAATTTAACTCATCGCTATATTTTTTCGTTTCGTATCGTTTTGTTTTTTTTTTTTTCAAGTCGAAAAAGACACGGTTCGAGCGGGCCTGTTGCTGTTCAAACCCATCAAGCTACCTCATGGTACGACGGGTGGCGGTAGTTCGGCGTTTCAAAATTCCGGCCTAGAACACTTGTTCAGTCAACGGCCAGCGGACGTGGGCAAAATATTCTCGCTTCAAAACTACAAAACCGCCGCGTCGCAGGAAACCATCAATCTCCCCAGCCCATTCCCGGGATTCCAAGGGACGCCGACGCAAAACGGCGGTGGGTACTCTTCGTATCAGGCTCCGACTTACGTGATGCAGCAGAATACCGGTTACCCATCACAGGGCGCGGACTATCCGCAGTTCCCGCCAAACAGTGCAGGCGGCACCAGCGATAGCGGCGAACGGGTGTCCGCGGCCCCGAACCAATATAACGGTTACGGGTTCCAAGGTTACAAGTCGCAAGAGTCGACCATTGGTCAAGAACTTGGCAGTCAAACAGGCGGCGGATTTTCGGGCCATCAGTTGCAATCCTATTCGCAAGAAAACGGCTACGACCAAAACGAGTCGGCTTCCGTGTCGCAGGAGCACGATGCGCAGGCCACGTACACGGTCAGCCGCAGTGCGGAAAGCCCCAGGAAGCCAAAGCCATCGAATACGGGGGCCGCGTTCACAAAGTCCGAACGTTTTGTTGCCGACTTTTTCCTGCCGACCACGCCAAAGGACAACAGCGACCGCCATACATACACGAAAAAGCGCAGCGTGGCGAAGAACGGTGAACTGGCTACACTCGAGTCGGTCGAACCCGCAAGCATAGTGCCGTTGACATACGACAGCGACACGTCAAGGGCGGCGGAAGAGCAAGCTAAACTGAAACAGACCGTTCAACGGTTTTTCAGCATTTTGCAGCAGCAACGCTGTAAGTATAACCATTATACAGCTGTACCGTAATTACTGCGAAAAATATACCCATTTTCGTGATAAAACAAATCGCATCGAGCCCAGGCCAATTCTCGGATCGGCCTTTGAAACTTCATTTCCGAAAGGTCTCGACTTATGTCCGGAGGGTTCGTAATCGAACTGAGTACATACGTATACTGAAGTAACATAATAACACACCTGATTAAAATTCTTTTTTTCACTGCGTTGTATTACATTACTGCACTGAAACGCATAAATATATATTATATTAATCACCGGGAAACAATGGCGAACTGTTATTGGGATATGGGTGAAAACTGGGAAACGCGTTAAATTAAATTTTGAAACGATTCAGCCCGGGAAATTCCGGGAAATTTCAGTCGAGTATGACACACGAGGGCGTAAACATACTACGAGGTTACTTACCCATACAATAACCAGCTCCGGACTGATTGTTGTTAAGCAAATGTGTTTAGCAAGGGCAGCTACAGGGGGGGAGGCTAGCGGCCACGCCCCCCGAGTCCGTATTTTTAATTAAAAAACAATTTTACAAAAAAAAAAAAAAAATTATACACTGTCGGCTATTGCAAACACGTACGAGCGCGAGTGCAAGTTAGAGGTATCTAATATCTATACTGCCAAAGTATAAATAAACCATAAAAATATTAAATATGCTTTTTATTATACAGTTTTTTTTTTTTTGAAAAATATTACTTAGCCCCCACCCAACCAAGTATCCGGAGCCGCCTCTGGTTTCTAGTGTAGGTATAACATGAAAATTAAAAAAAAAAAAATGATTATTATTATAGTCGGCACATTACATTATTATAAGTTTTAAGCCTGAATATCGTAATCAAAGTAGCGATTAACACGTAGACAAATTATGGACACAAATTAAAAAGGGGTTTGAACGCACACCCTGACCCGCGCTCTAAATGACGCCCCTGAAATCGGCTATCGTACGTGTGCGAATCGCAGATTATATTATATCGGTAAAAGTAAACCAATATAATAGATACCGGAAAAAAAAAATACGAATAATCAAATAAAATAGGGGACAACACTATATACGACCGTTTTTAATCGAAATTTTTCGTATAATTTTTATAGGAGACCGATGTGGAAATCCACGGACACCAGAATAACGGAGACCATTAAAAATAAAATAAAATCAAACACGGTCGGAAACATTTTACCAACGACTGTGTTTACCCATAGCTAGTCACTTTTGCCGTGTATCATTTCGTTTTCGTATAATGTGCAACGCATTCGTTTTTGTATAACTCTCTTTTTTTTTCTTTTTTTTTTTATTTGTATTATTAATATTATTATCATCATTATCATTATTATTATTATTATTATTATTATTATTATTTGATAATCACTTGCGTTTTATCGCGTCGATAACACGATAATATTATAATAATACGCGCTCAAGTTCGAACGAAAACGAACATTGTTGATTAAAAATACAAGTAGGTATATTACATATATAATAGTGTAGATATAAAACAGCAGTGCTTTTATTCGGTGCACGCCATCGTGACACGCACACCGGCGTAGATCGCGACAGTTATTATTTATTCCGTTATCGCGGCGTTTAGTTTTCTCCTAGTTTTTAAGCGAACGTCCGTTTATCGTCGACGTTATTTTAAAAAATAATTTCACGTTTGTAGTTACGGCAATTATTACCGTGTATTTAATCATTAGCGTATAGAATATGGATTTTAGCATAGCGTAGTAATAATTAGTAATAATATTATTGTACAATATTGATTATGAATACGAAACCTATTGAAACAGTCTACAGATTTATTGCGTTTAATCGAAATCGTGAAAAATATAGTACAATAGAGACACGTGTTGTAAATTATTAAAAATAACTGTGTTGTAATTGTTTTTTTATTTTTTTTTTTTTTGCGCGTTTTCACCTAAAATCGTGATTATTTCGCCGGATCGTGTCCTGTTTTTTTTTTCTTTTTCCCCCCTCGCTTTTGGGAACTTTTAGCTGCTGCTCCCCGTCTGGACCAATGTGTAGTTTCTTCGTAAGAGCCGTTTAAATTTCAAGAAAATTGACGTGAAAACAATTAATGTTCAATAAAGGATAAGGGATAACCGTGCTGATTGCGGTTTCTTATCGCGTACCGTGTTATTCTGTTGAAAACTAATTGTTTTCACGCCTGCGATTTTCTAGAAATTGAAACGGCTATTACACTCAGAAACAATACTGTAACTGAATGTTTATTTGGAATAGTGAAAAAATAATGTTATTTTTTTCAGTAATTAAAGGATGAAAAGAAAAAAAATTATCTTTCTCTACACACACCTGTCCCGCGGACCCGAAATCCGGGGTTTACGCACGGACATATTTTTAATTTAATAATGGAATACAATGTAAACTTAAAGAACACGTAAAGAACTTAAGGAGTTGAAGTAAAAGTGAAAACAGCCATTTATATACAATCTGTTCACTTTATGTTTAGAACCTCGAACCGTTATGTCATATTGAAACGGCACAGTGTTGAAATACACCGGTCTTATAAACAGTTGGCGAAAAATTGACCAAAGGATTCGCAAGAATATTTTTAACGGGGATAATGTACAGTCTTTTTTTTTTCCGTTTTGCCTTCGAAAACCGCGCGGTTTTCGCCGTAAAAACCAAACTTTTGTAAACGAACACAATAGTAATTCATTTGCATAAAAATCTACCCGGCAGAACGCCCAATGGTTTCGTGGCGAGTACCCCGTATTTATTCGGAATTTTATCGGATTGCCGACGGCCCATATCGAAATGTTTGCCGATACGAAGCTGAACACGTCGCTCGCGCAGCCCGCTCGGGTACCGGTGCCCTCGAGTTTCGCCGGCGTAACGCGCTGTGTACCTGTGGGTGGCCACCAAATTTAATTTTGGGAGCCGCGAATTCATAAAGCCGATTCAAGGCGAGCCGCATTGTAAAGCGGCGTTTATAAAACGAAGACACGTTTTTCATTTTAAATCAAACGGAAGAACAACGATTTTTACACTTTTTTACACTACGCAAAACATTATTATTATTATTGTTATTCTACTCGTGAGAAGTGCTTTTTTCGAGTGTTCGTCTTTTCGTTCAAGTTTTTTTTCGAAATCTGGCTGACGATTTGTAAACGCAGCGCGCACAAGTTCGCACAAATGTCGATCAGTTAGTTCAGATCGACATTTAGATTTAACGCGTTTAATTGGCCGCCGCCGCGCCGATCGATAAAAACGATCGCAACGGTAAACGAGACCAGCGGCGATAAAAAAAAAAAAAAAACACCATCGGACGATTCGAACGGAATTGCGCATTTGTTAATTTCAGTCTAAGCCCGGTCCGACGGCCGCGCGAAACCGATTCAAGGGCCGCGGAGCCTCGTTTCGGCCACCCCCGCAATAGGCAATTTCAATATCGCGGATTAACCGCCGTCGGTTCGTGGGTTATCGGCCGACCCGAAACACGCCGGGCGATAGCGCAATAAAACGTTACGCTAACAGCGGGTACGACTGTATATTACGTGTTTTTTTTTTTTTTTTGTTTTTTTTTTTCTGTCGAATTCGAACCGTCGCATTCGGCGGCGCCGGAGTTCCCGTAAAGGTAACGCGAACCGCGAACGCGATCCGATCTAAGATCGCGCATCATTATCGCGCGACTACTGATTCAATGTAAATTAAATACAGTTGGTTTTCCTTGCGCGATCGCGGTCGGCGATCTAAATTCGATCACGGCGCGATTAATTTGTTATTTTGAAAGAAAATTACGATATGAGTATATGACATTCATCTATGATTGACTGCTGGTTGACGTTGGTCGTGTCTTTCAACAATGAGTGCTCCAATGACCAAATTTAGCAAAGTAGAAGACGAAGTTATTGGTTTCCTTATAAAAAAAAGTCGGATTTAAGGCTAGGTCGTCTCTTATTAAATTTAAAATAAAATCAAACTGATTACGATTTATTCTAAAAAATTCTCGAAATTTGATTTCATTATTTTTCAAATGACCGTTGATTAGTATTTCATAATAACCTTCCGTACTTCTCTTTGTAAATAATTGATCATGGCCTTTTCTTTTTTCTTCTGACAAATATAAGAGCAAAACGTCATCATCATCTTCTTCTTCAAAAAGAATTTTCAATATATTTACGTCGTCAGATGTATCCATTATAATTTAAAAATTCACAGTATGTTCGTTTATACCGTTCACTAGAGTACTTCACACATCAAAATATTAAGTTCGACTGAATGATGAGATATAAATTACTCTCGATCGCGACGTAAAATCGTTCAGAATAAACCAAGACGATGCGAACGCGATCTTCTAGTTCGGCAAGGGAAACCGTGCCTTAAGACCGCTCGGGCGAACGGGGCGAACGACCGCGTCGCGACCGGCCCGCGTGCTCGTCGCGCGCGTCATTCGGCTGTTTGTGATGTTTCGGTTTTTAACCGTCGCCGTTTTCTTAAACCGATCGACGATCGATGACGAACGCTGCAGCCCGTGCGCGCGCGATTGTAAAACTATTTTCAAAGCCTTCGGTCCGTTAAGTTTTGATAATAAAAATAAAAAAAAAAGTGGTGTTATTGAGGCAGGAAGAACCCGCCGCCTCTCCCCCCCCCCGCACCGAAATTGCCATATTTAACGGCGAAATCTGAAAATTATATCCGAACGTTTTTGCATGAACATTACAGCGCCTGCTTTTAAATGGTTATCGGGTTGTACAAAAAAAACGAATAAACCGTACTTGTCGGCATTGCGTTATTTTTTCCCGCGAGGAAAATGTTCGCGCTAAATGCGGTCTCGGCGATCACGGTAGTTTTCATCGTTCAAAAAGTCGTCATGAAACCTCTAAAAATCGCACACAATGTTTAATACATTTAACTAAGTTTAATTTAGTTGTTTCCGCCCGGCTGAAATTATGGAACTCATATAAGTTGTGTCGCGCAGCTTTCCCATCACGTTTTGAATGCGAATATTCCATCTCAAATTATTGTCAAATAATAATAACTAAAGACCGGATTTAATTGATACCGCAACACTGTTGGCAATAAATCGCAATCAGATCCGATTAAATCCGTAGCCGATTTATAATAAAAATATTCTGCCCGTTTAATTTCGTATTGCGATCCTTCGCGATTTTCCCACGTTTTGAAACCACAGGCGTTTATCGTTCGTCTGGAATTCTTCCAGAAGCTCGGAGAGCCCGGCGAGCGATAAACGTCCACATGCATATGGTCGTAATTGAATTCAACGTAGTAGTACGGCGATTCGTGTGCGTTTACCTGTTGGTACCTTAGTACCTGTTTCTTTGATCAGTTTTACCGCACAGTGAAATTTAACCCATTACTCCGGGCAGTATTAGAGAAGAACCCGACAGGAAAAAGACCCATTTGACCGCCGAGAATGAAATGAGAGTACGTGTGGTAAAAAAAAAAAAGATGGGGAAGAGCCCAGAGGAACAGATTGAAAGACACGAGCAACTGATCGAGATGGATGTAAGGCGATTGATGTACGACGTGATGGCCCTAGAGGTCACTAATACCAGCGTTCCTTCTTTAAAAAAAGTTGATTAGATCAACGCGGTTAAAAAATAAATTTGAAGAAGTTTTCGGATAAAAATATTATCCTTTATAGTTTTTTTTTTACGTAAAAAAATTAATTCACGAATTGATTTTTCACTAAAAGTTAAGAAGTTCACTGTCATAGCTATTACCCTCGTATTTATTTCATCGTGTGTTACACCTCGGTAATTGGTTGTCATGGACTATACATTGATGGGATATATCGTTTAATAAATAATCTAAAACGAACAAAATTTCCTACATTTCTCGTTTCAAATGTCAAACAACGCGACGTATTCGCCTGGAACGTTCAAAATCCGGAGTTCACAGAATAGCGTGACCAACGCAAAGGGGAAAAAATCCAAACATTCATTTGGCATACAGCCAAAAACTAGCAAACGGAAAATTGACAATAACATAAAGGAAAAACTGTTCCAGTCGAAACTGAACGCTTACAAAGCCAAACAAAATGAACTGCTGACCAATTTCGCGGAATTAAGTCAACTTTACTACAAGTGTGTTAAACTGTCGAAAACGGTCTGCCCGCCGAAAAGCAAATACGTCGGAGATATCGAAACCGCGGTAAACTATTAGGGCGTAACATTAATGCGCAACAATGATTTCGTTCTGAAGTCTGTAAAGCATTTAAGAGTGTTAATAAATTACAACCACGACATCTGTAAATAATTGTGCTATCGCATTAAAACGGTCAGTGGTCACATCGACCGACCGGCGGATTCGTGATATTAAAACCATGTCGACCATTACGCTCCAAAACCACGGTAAATTATATTCAAAAGAACCTTCCCGCGACCCCGAATACTTTGTGTTGAACGGGTCACCCCCGATCACGTTTCCGGGCCAACAGTTTGATGGTATAATTTTTGGACCAAAAGGATATTGGGCCCCTAGACCTGCCCCCAAGAAGACGAATCAAATCCGCCAACGGTTTAATGTATTTGATCATTATATCGTATAATATTTGAAATGCAATAAAACAATAGAGTAAAAACAAAATCGTCAAATGGTCAATACTCGTAAATAAATTACATCTAGTTTGTTCGTGCATTTGCTTAGGATATTTTTAAACGTTTTTAATGACGTTGATTTTGTTTTGAATGATGTTTGATATTTCCGTGAAACGCGTGTAATTTTTGAATATTTCCATCGCGATGCAGATAGCTCGGATCATGGCCGAGGCGTACCGCACGTGTACGCTCGATCCTGCGGATAGCGACACCAACGGCGCCGAATTCAAACGGCAGGACTCGTACGCCGTCGGCCGTGAAGAGCGGGCCATGCCGTTCGGGATGGGCGACCTCCGAGTGTGGGACCCGCGTTCGCGTCACGGCGCGGTTCTGGACGCGATCGCTGGTAAACTGTTTGACGTGTACGCGAGGTTTTGGACCCGGGCAGCAAGGGCCGCGGCCCAAAACGAACGGTCGAGGCCATCGGTCACCAAGAGTACGGGCGAAGGGCTGGCCGACCGAGGGCCGACGGCGATGCCGGGTATACGTGATCTGGTCGAGATCGTTGTAGCCGTGCGGGACGCGTTGTCCGGACACCATCGACGCCGGCACGACGACGATCGCGACCTCGGTACGGGACCGGCGGTGGCGGCGGTCGCGAGTAAAACACACGCGCGGCAAGGCAGAAGGCTGAGAGTCGAGGTAATGCCAACGCACGTGGAAGACCGTAGTTCCCGGGCGGACGGACAGCCGCCGGCCGTGCGCCGGGAATCGACGCGTGAGCTCCGGAAACGCCTGGCCCTGGTCACCGACCGGTTAAAATTGGTGGACAAAGAAAAACGTGACCTGATGGTCGCCGTGCATAGAGTTCGACTGGACCCGTCGGTCACCTTGCTGCGCGCCACGCTCGACAAAGAGAGAAAAAAAAACGTTCGTTTGCAATCCGTCGTCGACGAAATGTTCGCCGCCACCAGAACGGTTCGAAACTGTCCCCTTTGTGATCTGTATACAAATGCCGATATCAATTAAAAGCCCCCGATATAATACCCGCTCGAAACTCGACGAACATCAAATATTATATACCTATCGGATAAATCCGGTCCGGGTCCGATCCGTCTGTACATGGAAACATGAACTTATTGCTTATTAACTCATTCAACTTATTTTTTTATCATGAGCCAGTAATTTTCGAGGAGGATTTTTAGCGAATTTTATTTCTGTTATTTTTAATCATTGTGGAATCGGTTAAGCTTTATTTATTTCAAAACCATTTTTAATACTTTAAACAAGTACGTACTTTTGTGTTCCGAATAGGAACCCAGGTAATAAAAATTGCACATTATCAAGCGATAAATTGATAACTCTTCCCCGCTCCTTCGGTCTAAACTTTGAACGGTAATTACTCACGAATAATAAATATGATATTAGTGTTGTGCACATCAAATTTTCGAGAAAAATATACTTTTTCGAGATATGCGGAGTAGGGATAGAAAATTTAAAAAAAATGGTTTTAAAATAAAGCTTACACGATTCCACACAAAAAAAAAAAAAAAAAAAAAAAACGAGCAATCAATCAAATTCACTTAAAATCTTCTGAGATAATTGCCGGTTCATAATAGAAAAAATTACCCTGTTCCATTCCGAGCTTTCTCCGATCAAAACAATATTGTCACTAACCGATTTTCTACGAGTTCGTACACGGAACTTCAGAGTGCCTACTGAATGCTACTGCTGTAAAAATCTTAAATACTGAATCGGATCGGATCGTTGTATGTGAACACAATACTTGAAACGTTAAAAATCGGAACAGACTCTGATCGAATGTGTGAAAGGACACGCTAAACAATTTTTAAATTGCGTATTTGAAAAATACGCAGTTTATTTAATATGTATGTGTACTTGAGGTAAATTTCTAGGATTTCTACAAAATAATGACTGAGGCACAATTTTGAAATTATTTTCGGTCCAATAATTATTTCACTTTGAAAAATACAATTTCTTTTAAGTTTTTTGATACAATTTTACTATTTTACTAACATTATTATGAAAACTACTTGGAAAAACAAAAAACGTATTTCTTAAGGTACCAACTAGATAAAATTTCTTTTAAGAAAAGGTACTACGCTTGGTACATAGGAGCAATAGCTACCCAGGATTTTTCAATGGGTGAGAGCTTGAAAATTGATAACTAATCAGTTGTTTTGTCACAAGTTTGAAAAATAAAGTAGGTCAGTACTCAATAGGCGAATTCTTAGTTCTGACTGATAATAAACATGAAAAAAAAAACTTAAATATTATGTAGGTAAATGTTAAAATGTTGGTCAGTGCCTAAAACACAATTTTTTAGCCAGTATTAAAAAAAAGTCGTAGATCGACCAAAATTAGAATTTAATAAATTGTGGATTTAAAGCGTTTTTACATTTTTTTTCTATTTTGAATATTTACATAATAAAATGGCTGCAAAATAAATTTTGAATTACTCTATACATAAATTTTAATTTGAATACATACAATTTTGTTGTACTTTCATTTCTCCATAAAATAGATTTGCCTTGTCTTCATAAAAAATAATTTCAAAATATATTTCGTTATTTTCTTAGCAAATAATGAATTAATGAGACATTTATTTATAATAATTATAAATGTAATAATAATGTAATAAACATAATGTTATGTTCTATAGGAAAAATTGTATAGAAAGTGGTTTAGTTTTTGAATTGAATTTGACTAAAATTTATTAAACTACCCTTTTTTGGCCAAATTTTAAACCACAATTATATAATTATAAATTATACAGTTTACATCAGAGAGTTTATGGTAAGAACAATAAATTAAGGTTTTAAATAAAATAGTTGTACTTTTATTTTAAGACTAGTATGGTTTTATTAAACAATTTACAAAAGCTCAAAAAATAAATAATATTAATAATAATAAGGAACCAAAAAATAAATATTAAAGCATAAAAATGTTTTTTTTTTATGTGTGTACTTCATTGTTTAAAATTAAAAGAAAATTTGTCCATGGTAATGCAAAATGTATGAAATTTTTATAAATTTATAAATAGTCAAATATTTAAGAAAATAAAGATGCGTTTGGCATAGAAGTTTTTTTTAATGATCTACTGATCATAATTAAAAGTTCATAGCCAAAAAAGCAACACTTGTCTAACATTGTCTAATAACTCTAACACCTAATATCACAATTTGGTAAAACAAATAAATACAAATGCAAAATCAATTATATAAATTGAATAATACAAAATGTTATTACACTACTATGCCTTGTATCCACGAACTAAGATCAGTATCTGCACCGTCAAGAGGTTCATCTTCGCGCTTACATACAAGAAGCATTTCAGCAGCTGCACGTCCCGACAAATATGCTCCATGAACAGTCGAATAAAAATTTGGATGTGTATGTTCTCCAGCAAATGTTATCACAGGCTGAAACACATAAAAACAGCATTAAAAAACTTACTCAACAATAACTCAACATCACTGTAGATTTTGGATATTACTTACTAATTTATTATTATTTACATGCATCGGCCTAGCAATATGTTCTATATCTAATTGACTGGAACCGACTCCAATAGCCGTGTATGAACCTAAACTAAATTCATTGGCTTTCCATCGAGTACTACAATCAAAAAGTGATAAAAATAAATAAGTATGTGAGTGAAATAAACAATATAACTTTATAAAAAAAAAAATAAAAATACTAACCACATACATTTTGATGGATAGGGTATACAAGGGTCGTTCAAAAATCGTCTTAATATTTCCGTACACTTATTACCAATTATTATATCATCTAATTTTTCCATAATTTCAGCTTCGTTACCGGATATCCAACCTAACAACAAAGTGTCGTTCACTTTTGAAAAACTATATATCTTTTCACTCCAATCGCCAGTTTCATCATTGTCCCACAGCAAAAGTATCTCATCCATATCTTTGCCCAAAAATGGTCGATCGTAGTACAAAAATATTTTGTCTACTACACCGTACAACAATCGCCCAATAGATTTTTCTTTGAACCTCGGTAATTTAGGACAGAAAATATCATTAGATTTGAGTACGCCTAATGGCAGTGTACATATAATACTGTCAGCCGCATATATCTTATTACCACAATGAACATATACAGTTTCGTCAGTCACATCTTCACCACCCACTTCAATGACAGTCTTATCGGAATCTTCCGAATCAGTACCATTGTCTATACCTGACGGCCATTTGATTTTCGTTACTCGAGAATTTAATTTCACACAGTCAGGTGGCAACTTGCTGTGTATAGGATCTAAAATACTGCTGTACCCTCTAGGCAGTGATATATTACCGCCCTGGAGTTCTTTGTAACTACCCAACTCGACTAGATCAATATCGCTCATATTATTACATCCACTTATACAAGTTTCTCGTTTGAGTAAACAGTTAAAAATTAATCGTTGTAATTTGCGAATACTGGAATTTTGAACTTTTTCCAGATATATTGCTATTTCAAGTTGAACATGTTCTCCAACACTATGGATTCCAGGTGGTGGATCGAATGCACCGGTAAAATAATCTTCACACCGGCGCAAAAAGCACATATAAGCACCATATGTTTGCTATATAAAATTGTATCTTTTAATAAATATACATTAATCAAGCAATGACAAATTTAAGTTTTTGTAATCTTCTAAGATATGTAGCCAGCATTTGTTTGGAAAAATGTAATTGAATTGTTGTATATTATATCAGCATTTATAAAAAAAAAAATGTGTAAATTAAAAATGAATATGGGAAACAAAATTAAAAAAAGTACCAAACAAAAATTGTTGGGAATGCAACCAATTAAATACAATTTTTACTTAGATATAAAAGTTTATTTATTTTTAACTGAATGACTAATACTTACAATAAATATTTATATAGGTTTAACTAGAAAATAAATATAAAAAATAATTTGTAACTATAAAATAGTTTTATATTATTATTTATATATAAGTTCGGATTAAATTATATTCAGTTTTATAAAACAATCATAATAACTTTATACTCGGTAGGTACTATTTTGTATACAAAAACATAAATCCACCATTTTAATGAATAATTAAGTTATTAAATAAATATTTACATACTTGAAGTAATTGAAATGGAACTTTAGTTCCATCACTTGTAGTGGCTATAATACTGGGTAACTTTGGACGGTGAGTGATATCTACTAGACCACTAGCCATGGCCAACTCATACATTGGATTACCTAATACACCATGAATCCAATTAGCACCAAGTTCAATGTGTTGATCGTCTATAGGTAAATTACTTATGTATACAAATTTCGTCACAATTTATTGTAAATTTGCATACTTATTTTAGCAGAGCACATTCGACCACCAATACGATTCTGAGCTTCCAGCACTATATAGTCATTCATGTCATGTTGAGTCAAATGTGTGGCAGCTGCGAGACCTGCTATACCAGCACCGACAATAATAACTTTGTGCTTTGACAATTCCGGTAATGATTCACCCATAATAATCAGTCTTTAAAAATGATCTACAAAATAATTTATTATTGAATGTAAAGTGTTAATAATATGTCATTTATTTATTTTTCTATGTTTAACATAATAATCAAAACCCAAAATATAATAAACAACAGCAATAAATAACAAAACTCAAAACTGTCTAGTAAAATACAGAACAAAAATAAATGTATAGAACTAAACACAGTAGGTATCCAACTTTAACAATAGTACCTATTAGCACAACTAATTAAATTAATTGTTGAATCTTACCACGAAAAAATAAATTGCAACATACACTCTTAGGTTTAAATACCTAAACACTCACCAGTTTTTCTGTTTTTACTGAAATATTCCGTTGAATAGACTACATAGTTTTTGGTGAAAACGATTGGTAGTGGAGATATTGATGCATGCTACAATAGACTAGTTAAAAACCATTTGATTGGTGTTGAGAAAAAAATTAATACATTTTTAAATATAAAAATAATAGTGATTTATTAGTTAAATTTATTAAATTGAAAAAATATAATGTTATGAAAATTGTATGTGATAAAATCCCCAATTCCTAACAAATTTGATAAGATAATAGAACACTGAAAATCAAAATCAGCCAAAGGGCTGCACTGCGATTTCGAGTTGGTATTCATGGTAATGACGGTCAAAGTCGCATCAAGTGATGCCGGTGTTATCAACTTCTATAGTCGCTCAGCCGCTATTGCCTGATGTTATGTTGTTGAATTTGCTGTTCTATTTTACAGTATACGATTTTGTTATAAAAATTTTACTTCATCATTAGATTAGACATAATTTGTTCGAGAAGCCAATAAACTATGCTGTACGTGTGTCGATGATTATTGCCTTCTTATAATTTGGTGAACTGTGATATCCGCTATCGGTTTTCCGGCACTTCTATTTGCACACCGATGTGAATCCACTTTCTGGAAAATTCAGAAAATATCAATATTCGTTGTTGACGAAATACCTTCCTAGTTTTGTACACGAAAATATTTTCCATAATGAACATAACCAGAGCAACGAAAACTGGTCTGCGACCCTTTAAAAGTAAGTGGCAGAATTATTTAATTTTTTTTGTTCATTTAAAAAATATTTACAATCTGTGTTAAAATAGCAAATAAGCAAATCAGATATCAATTTAATTTTTAACCGTGAATAATAGGAGGGAAGTTATCCAGTGATAAGCCCAGCGTTGTATTATTTTGGCTTAGTAAGTCTGCAATATTTTCTTTTAAGCTTGTAGGCAAAATGTATAGGTTGTGTATTGAAAGAGATTTGTGATACTAATGGGTTAGGTTTGGTTTCTTTTTTGATTCATCATGACCGAATTGTTTTTACTTTTCTGCCAATGCTATTGTGCTATTCGGCGCATTCCCATATTGCATTTACAATAATTATACTACATAATTCAATGGTTTTACACCCAGCCATTTGTTCAAGGTCGGTTAGACGGTTATGAAAGCATCCATTTCCATGTTCCCCTCCTGACTATATAATAGTATTGCGGCCTTTATTTATTATTATAGTGTTTATCCCTCATATAATAATATCTAAATCCAATGTATTTTTTAATCAAGTTGCTCTTGAATAAATTTAAAATTTTCATACTGTGTTCCTACTTATGATAGAACATCAGCTATAAAAAAAAAAAAAAAAACATGCATTGATTGTCAATTACATGTAAAAAAAACAATGATCTCGTTTTCATAGGTAATCTTCGCCTTTAATTAATTTATGTTTTAGGTCTTTTATAGATAAAATTCCTTAATCATGTATTATAGCAAAATAAACATAGGTATCTACACATTTATTTTACTACCAACACCCATACATTTTAATTTCACAAATTTAAAAATATATATGTTTAAACTATAACTTAACAATTTCCTATCTACCAAAATTTATTATTAATCAACTTTTGTTCTTGTCAATATTTTTCATATTTGATATAACCAAATGATTACTAACTACCAGTAATTTATTAAAAAACTATAAACTGTTTTAATGCTAAATATCTAGATGTTTTTTTGCTAATTTGTTACCTTCCATAATAATAATACACCTATTAGTAAATATTAAAACTTGTAGATTGTATAAATCATAAACTCAATCTTACAATAACTCATAATTTTTATTGATTAACATATCATTAGTATTTTTCTTATCTATATAGGATTATAATGTATAACCTTGAATTTGTGAGATATATTATTATATTACTTAATATTTAGTATTACTCTTAATCTATTAAGTTTAACCTAATCTATTTGGGCACCCCTACATTTAGTTAACATAGTATTATTATATGTCATATTTATAAATATGTAACTCAAGTGATTAATGCTTTCCAGAAAAAAAAAATGCATTCTTAATTCGTATTGATTAATTTTTAAAATAATGATTTTCCATACTCAGTATGCTCCCAGAAATAATTTTTTCTTTTAAATTAGGTATAATTTTATGCTAAAATATTTTTATGATAATCAAAATAAATTATTTGTCATGGTAATTATTGTAATTTTAATTCAAATATAGGTAGGCACTTACATCTAATCCCTTTTTATTATTAGTTCAAGGTCAGTATAGGTCATTAAAATCATTATTATTATTTATGAATCATTCTTATAAATATTGTTTTATAATCTATATAATATGAAAAATAAAATTGTACACTTATGTGGATTGAATAATTTTAACGTGGCCTGAGAATAAGAACACATTATTATAATAACTAAATTCATGACTGTCCAGATTTTATAAGTAGCAATATTCATAGTAAAAATATAGGTACCTCAAAATAAGTTTGACATATTATAAAATAACTACAATATTTATATGACTGTTGCCTCTTTTTAAAATAATAACAATTTATAAGACCCAGCTAATTTTTTATTATTCACCCTCAGATATAATAATATAGGCATATAAAAAGAAGCGTATAAAACATACATGTCTATACTAGGTAATATGTAAAGCTGAAGAATTTGTATTTTTAAAGGGCTAATCTCAGAAACCACCTGTTCGATTTGACCTATTTTTTTTTTTTTGCATTTGCCAGTTTATTGAAAATAATTATCAGTTGCTTAAAAAAAATCCACCCCCAAGGAGGAGATGGGAGCACAATTATATAAAGAGAAAATAATTGTTTGTAAAAATCTTGTTCTTACGTTATCTTGTGATTGTCTTGTAGTTATAGACCACTACTATTTTTTTTTTTTTTTTACATTTAAAATATGTATGTTGAACATAATAAAAAATAATGTATATCATTATTTTGTAACTCACTCACACCAAGACAGCAGATCGGATTTGGATAAGTTTTGGCACACAGTTAGAATATATTTTAAATAAACACAGGATACTTTTCATCCTGAAATTCAGCCCCTAAAGAGTAGTTAGTACAGGGTTTTTCGTAATGTTGTAACAAAATCTGAATAAATTATTGTTGATATATGAGATACGTAATTTAGTGACACTGATTGAAAAAAAATCAGTTAGTTCTTATTAGTTAATTTGATTATCACTCTTTTCAGAAGTCCTCTTTAAAAAATATAAATTACTTAACTGTAATAGATACGAGGAGACTCATTTTTTTTTTTCATTCTGTATAATGGAACAAATCGACCCAAGCAAATTTTTCAATTTTTTTTTTTTCATATTGTGTGTTTTTGCTGGAACATTCAGAATTTAAAAATAAAAATTCGGACCAACTTCGGTTGGAAGCTATGGGAGAAAACTTCATGAAATTCGTGTCTAACGTTTCGCATATTTCTTAGTGAATTTAACATTTTCAATGTATGTGCAACAAGTGATTGGTTAACTGCAGTGATAGGGACGAAAATGGAACCAGGGAGTCACAGGGAAAAATATTTTTATTTTCTATTACATTTTCGTTCAATATTGACACGGGCGCGGGACATCCAAAATGTCATAAATGAGGCATAAAATGTTTACTTTTTTTAATATTTGATATTTAATTCAGATAAAATTTACTAGGTAATCAATATTTATGTCTCAAGCAACTTTTTTTTTTTTTAATAAAGATCAGTTTATGTACTTGTATTTTTCTTACTGTTAAACCGAAAATGAAAATAATGAATATGTATAAAGAAAAAAAAAAATAGCGATACTGGAAACGGGTGTAGCCACTGTTGTAGGTGGGTAGTGGAAAAGGTAGAACACGTAAAGTTATTTAATGTATACCTGTAACCAACGTTAAACCATAGATAACAAAAAACGATTCGGAGCGAAGTTTGCTTACATATGTTTTTCAAGGCAGTAATATTTACGATTTTCGTAAATTTATAACTCGTATAAGTTATAATGAACCTCCTATCAAATTTCCAAGCATTTCTGTTAATTCTAACAGTTTATCTACAGAGTACCTACTAAATAAAAATTACGTACAAATCTCGCAAAATTTAAATGTCTATAAATATCTTAAAAATATATAAATTCATAAATATTAGTAAAGTGAATACTGTTTAGGTAATAATTCAATGACATCGCCTTTTTTGACAGGAAATAGTGTGGATAATAAAAATCCCGAAAAAGTGTAGTGACGGTGAAATATCGATGGCAAAATATTAATAAATACTTATTCATAAATAATGTATTGTAATAATGATATTATATTTTAAGAAAAATGCGCGATAATAATTATCGCGCATTTTTGGTGATCGGTAAGTTAATAGTGATAGTGAGTGATAATGTTGGTAGAACGACTGGTACAAATTATTTCGCGCAATCAAAAAGGAACGTGTCGTGTTCACTACACACGAAACGAAACGACACGGCGGGTTGACGACTCCCCTTTAGCCTGTAGACTTATAGCTTAGTTTATGGGTCTGTGGATAAAATATGGTTTCGGCATGTCAGTGGGTAATGTGGTATCATCACAATCTACTTATCTTAAGATAGCATTTTGAATCGAGGTTGTACCTAATCGCGAGCCGATCCAATCAGGTGACGTCATCGTTTGTATGGAGTAGAGATTATCAGTTATCACCTTTATACCTTGGAGACTTATCACTTAAAACTGTCTGGTGCGACGAACTGCGCGCGGAATTTTAATTTCGCACCATTACTCTACCCCCGCCCATAACTTAAAAGTGAAATATCTCATTAGCCGGTGGACGGAAATCGAAAATTCCAATACCAAAATTTATTTTAAACAATACTCTAACTATTTAAGGCGTTTTCAAAATAGGTTGTCTTTTGAAAATCAAAAGATGGTAGTCGTTTCACTCCCCCCTCCCAAAAAAAAGAGGGGAGTACAAAAAAAATGATTGCGTAACATTTTAGAACTATTTGTTTCTTAAGTTTAAAAAAAAAAATGTCGAAAAAAGTAAACACTTTCCGAAATAATGAGTGTTTCCAGTTGAGTGAATCACTCTGTGGAAAACATAAGCTTTTAAAGTAATTAAATCGTAACGTCGTGAATTTGTCAGTTTTTTCCGGTTTTTCCTAATTATTAAGAAATTTCAGACAAAATTAAAAAACGAATAACATACTCTGAACTAGATTTAAAATTCAACACAAAAGGTATCGTGTCGTTTATCTACTGGAGCAATATTTGTGATAGAAAACTTGGCCGTTAAAATTTTAAATAACGGAATCGTGCCGTAATTTATAAAAAAAAAAAAATCGTATACAGTGAAACCTGTTTTAGCGGACTCTTTCTATCACGGACACGGACAGTAATATTTTCTCGCCAATACCTCGATAACGGGCAACTATCTCAGTTCAAAATCAAATATACTGAAAATGTGTACCGTGTACATACGTACCACAGGACATCATCGCCGGTCTATTTCGCATACCGATTATGACAGATTACATGTTTATCAAATAAGTGATACAGTTAATTGCGAGGACGAAAATAACCAAAAAAACCGTAAAGCGTTTATTCCGTATCGTTTCTTGTTGTACATTTTTCTCCGTTCGTTTTAGTTTTTTCTTTGAAATGCCACCACCCATACATGTCTATTACGGACATTTTTTATGGTCCCGTAACTGTCCGTTACACACAGGTTTCACTGTATTTGGTCCTTTTTGATTGTTCCCAATTATTATGAAAAATACTTAAGATATTAAAAAACAACTTTTTCTATCGGTGGCTATGTCAGTGTTAATAGTAACAAAATCGATCTCTTGTCATTTTTCGATTGGAGTTTTAATATTTCTAGTGGAAAACATTGTGTGAACATAATGAAAACGGTAACGTCAGTGCGTCGCAAATATTTGCCGTTTTACCTATAATTTTCTTTTGGGTTTTTTCTAATTGTTTTAAAACCTCTTGGGAAATCAAAAAATAAACTTCCCAATGCACCAACGAAAGAAAATTACCGTTCGGAAAAGGTGCTATAACGTATACTTCAGAGCAAGTTATCTGATAGAAAAGTTGTTTACAAACACATAAAATAAAAATAAAGTTACACACACATAATAATGTAAATAGTTGCTTTTCTTTATTCAATATAATATATATATTTTTTTTTTTTTTATTTTAGATTCTTACAGAATTTACAACAAAAATGTTGGTGCTATTTGTTTTAACGCACAGGCCTGTGCATTTCCAAACAATTTCTTCTATTCCAATATTGCATCTGCTCGACTGCATCCAATATCTCATACTACAACAAAATTAGAATTTTTTAACCCTCAAATTCGACATATAACATGTACATCATCACTATTATCGGACAAACCTTCCTCCAAAGTTGAAGAAACTGTAAATGCCGTCAAAGAAAAGGCTCAAAAAGAAGCGGAAGGAAAGGAAATTGCAGCTGTGAAACCGAAAAAGTCAATTAAACAAAAAGTTATAGATGAAGTGATGCACTATTATCACGGTTTTAAACTTTTGGGACTTAATGCCAAAATTTCCTTCAAATTGGCTATTAAGAAAATGAAAGGACAAGAATTGACAAGAAGAGAACATAATCTAGTAAGTTACTTTAAAAACTTTACTTGACCATAAAATGTTTTAAACAAAATATTAATTTAAGTATTATAAATTTTAATCTAAAATTGTATAATATGCCTTTAAAAAAATATTAAACCATTACATTAAATCAAATAAAAAATTTAAATTCATTGCGAATTGTAGAATGATTGTGTTTATCAGTTTAAAAAAAAATGGTATGGATAAATTAAATTGACAATGAGTTATTCCTATTCTTGTAAAATCTTTTTGCCCTTTTAAAATAGCCAACTTCCTTTCCCCTCAATGGATATTGGGCAATAGACAAGTGAATAAAACTTGTCATTAAAATGGTCAATAAAATTTTACAAAATTGACAAAAAAAAAAGGAAAATCAAAACTTCAGACTCATATAGTTTATCTCATGTATATTTTGGAATGGCTACTATAACCATCCGGATAAACACCCAGCCATCTTTGTTTAATTTTTGTTGTTTCCCATCTAAACAGGCTTCCACATTCTTCTTTACCACATCTTCGCAGCTCAAACAAGATCTTCCCTACTGGATCCTTTTCAAAAAAGAAAAAATATAAAATAAAATTGTTTTAATTAATATAAAAAGTATGAAACCATTAAAAATTATATAGAATGAATTAATTATGATAGTAACATTACTATGTAGTTACAGCTTTTACCATTAAAATGTGCAAGGGAATTATAATATATATTTTAGTATTCTATACAAATCTAAAAATTTACAATTTCAAAACTTAAACAAATCTGAAATTTAGGTACACTAAATTTTAATCAGTCCCTAAGTGTTGATCAACATTTGGCCTTTCTACTGTAGTATGTAAAATTATACAAAAGCAATTAAATCTCCGCGGTTATGCATTTTGCAACTTTTATCCCTAATTACTAACATAATTTGTGATATCATTATGAAGCCAATATCTAAGTTATTTTTAAACTGGTTTATGTATGTAAATTAGTCTGATCATAGTAGGTCATTGATAGATCTCTATTAGATTTATACCAGTAATACTATCCAATATTCATGTCAGGGTCATTTGTTTGAATGTCAAATTTTGTTGGCCATCAAAACAGCCATTCACCTTATCTTATACTATGTAATATATGTGTGTTGTATTGTATAATATACAAATAAGTAAAGATTTATGATTTTTGTGCTTATGTAAATTTAATAAATATTTTGATTTTAATATTGGCCCACTAATAGACACACCACAGATAATTAACATTTAACAATGTTTTTATCTTAAGTGTTTGAAATGTTTTTTGGAACTATTAATTTTCTTTCAAATAACAAAATATTATCTATTTTTCATCAAACCAAAACAAATAATTAATTATGAATTTGTATGCACACAAAAATCATAAATTCTAGGTTACCTAAGCATACACCAAAATTATTTAATTTTTTATTACCTATTTGTTAATCTTATTGTTTGATATTTCAGTTTGTTGAGACAGTAGCCGATCTTTTCCGATTATTGCCTTTCTCTGTGTTTGTTATTGTACCATTCCTCGAATTTACATTACCTATTTTCATCAAGATCTTCCCTGGTATGTTACCAACTACTTTTCAAACAAAAGATGATAAAGTAAGTTCTATTTATTTTGTGTATATTATTACATTTAATTTACATATTATATGTATCTATATTAAATTATTTTAGGAAGCAAAACTCAAACAATCTCTGAAAGTGAAACTTGAAATGGCAAAATTTCTTCAAGAAACACTAGACAATATGTCTGTATCTGGTAAAGGACATACTTGTGAATCAGCCAAAGAGTTTTCAGACTTTTTTACCAATGTATATATTTAATTGTATTAATATTTGTCCTTTATATTTTAATAATGGTACTTTTTTAGGTAAGACAAGAAGGTGTTGTTATATCAGCTGATCAAATACTTAAATTTTCAAAGCTGTTTAAAGATGAAATTACACTTGACTCACTTCCCCGGCCTCAATTAGTTGCCCTTTGTCGAGTACTTGAACTTCGACCTCTCGGCACTTCAAACTTTTTAAGATTTCAACTCACACTTAAACTTCGTTCTTTAGCAATTGACGATAAAGTACATTTGGTTTATTTTTAAATTACATTATTTGATTATTAATTCCCTTCTAATATACAGATGATTCAAAAAGAAGGTGTGGATACATTAACTCTAAGTGAACTTCAGCAAGCGTGTAAATCCCGTGGAATGCGTGCATATGGTCTCACTGAAAAACGTCTACGACAACAACTTACTCAATGGCTTGACCTGTCATTAAATGAAAAAGTCCCTCCTTCATTACTTCTCCTTTCTAGAGCATTTAGCTTTACAGAAAATATCCCTACTAGTGATTTACTCAAGAAAGCTATTTCTGCATTGCCTGATTCCGTTGGAGTATCGACTGAAGCAGATTTGGGTGAACGTGAAGGTGCTATAGATAACAAGGCCAAATTAGAAGCAATTAAGGAAGAAGAACGGAAGGTGGCAGAAGAAATAAAAGAAAATTTGGAAGTAAAGAAAAAGGAACTAGAAGATGCCAAAAAGAAACCCAAAGAGCAAGAAGAATTAGTTGATAAAGCACCAGTATTAACTGACACAACTGGAATAATTAAAGAAGAGGTTAGTTAAGAGTTAATTATATTTTAAAATAATATTTTAACTCTAATAATTGTTTATAGGAAATGACATCAACTGATTTAAAAACACTAGAAAATGCTATTGAGAATCTGAGTTCTGAACAAAGGAAACTTATTGTCGAAAAAGAAGAAATTAAAGATTTGAAAGATGAACTCAAAGACTACGAAGAAGTAAGTGAAATGTGTTTTATCTTGTGATATCCAAAATGAGTTAGTTATTTATTATAATGTCACTAACTATCAAAGCTGAGCACTAAATGATTTCAAAGTTTATACTAAATTGAAAATTCAAGTCTTTACTTACAATGTAATTATAATATTATTGATGTTTTTGTCTGACATCTTTGTACTTCTATTTCCTAATCATTAATATTTCTGCATAAAACACAGTATTTAGAAGAAACCAGTCTTACCTATGTATACATTTTTATTTTAAAAACAAAAAACCTAAAGCAAAATTTTACATTAAATATTATAAAATATAAAAATCTTAATCCACAAAATTGTTATTCTCTATGCATTGTAGGATATTAATGATCTTCAAGAAGTTATGAAATCTGAAAAGAAAGAAAAGGTTAGAGAATCCAAGGCGGCCAAACGTTTATTCAAGAAAGTCAATAATATGATAACGAATTTGGACCAGGTAGTAAATAAATTGGAAACCAAAGAAAAAGAAATTAAAACTAGTATTGCAACTAAAGAATCAAGTGATGAAACGACTACTGAAGCGAGGTAAATATATATTTCTTATAGTACTGCAAGTTAAAAATTATATTAAATATTTTTGTTTTGTTTTATTGCAGTGAATTAATCAAAATCGATGAGTTAATTGGTTCAGTACGAAAACTACAAAGTGTACCAGATGAAGACAAGTTACAAAAAATCAGTGAAATTCTGAGTAAAATCGATGAAGATGGTGATGGTTCAATAAGATTAGATACTGTAATGAAAGTAAGTTGAATAAATTCATATTTTATTGTTTAAAGGTTCTATTCTTTACATGTATACTATTTTAGGTGATAGAGACGATTGGTACTGAAAATGTCAAATTATCTAATAAAGAAATGGATATGATTACTCAATTAGTTATGAAAGAAGAAGAAATGGAAATTTTAGAAAAAATGAATAAAGTACAAAAAGATGAAATTGCTCAAGCAGCAACTACCATCCCAAAAATATCAACAACAAAAGAAACAGCTTCAGTTAAAATTATAACGCCTATTGTTGACTCAAAAATAATTTCTGATGCAAAAATTCCGCCAATACCACCAACGAATACAACCAAACCAGCTGATATAAAAAAACCATAAGGCAATAATGCAATTCAATGCTTTCATTTATTTTAAATTATTTCAATAATTAAATTTAAACGTAAATTTCAAAAATGTGATACTGAAATACATTTCCACGACTTTGCCACTCTCAATATAGTTTTTACTTACTATGTTTAGTCTAGGAAAATGTGTTTAATATTATACAAATTTGTCTTCGTTGTGTTTGATATATTTGTTTAATAATTTTAATATACTGTTATTTGTTAAAACCAAAACTGTTGCTTTAAACTTCAACTAAATTTTTTTGTTTTCACATCTATATTCCATTTGAATTTAGCCCCTTTGCAAATCTTTATAGAAAATGTACTAAAATGGTAAAATTAAAAACATTTGACTGTGTTATGCAAGACTGTTTTACGTAACATAATTATTTATTATATATAATTATTTTTATCAGTGAACATATTTAGTGATTTATTATTTGTTTCACAAAACAATCAATTTCAATGAACAAATCCAAATCAGCAATTGTAATAATTATTATTAATGAAATCTAAAATTATTTAATAGATTCAAATTGTACCCTACCCAAAATCTTGACCTTTAACAACTCATAAAAACCTTATATAATTTATAGTGTTGTTGAAATTGTTCTATAATCAAATGTGTGTACATAATAAAATATTTATTGTGGTTCTTCTATCAATTAAACTGAGATAATTAGAATAAGTCAACTATTTCTTAATTGATCTAAGTGGTATTTTTGTTAAACTGGATAAAAAACAAATCTATATATTATTATTAAACATCGAAATACATTTTTAAGTTTTATTATACTTGACCTCTTTGTTTATTTATTCAGATGTGGAGTGATAGAAGCTATTACTGGATTTAAAATATAAAATGTATTTTTTGTTTAAGTTATTGTTACTAAATAAATAGACTGTGATCACATTATTGTTGTAATATAAATTTGCTATGAAATTGTCAGTCTTTGCAATTTAATTATTTACATTGCATTTCAAATGCTTGCTAATTAACGCTGTTATTCAAAATTCACAAATACCAAATATAAACAGTGTTAACGTTATAGCATAGTTACACTTAAATATTATCACCTGTTAATAAAAACTGTATTTATGTTATGTCTTCGATCATGATGAATGAAAAGTTTATACACAACAACCAGTGGATTTTTTTCAAACATGTTTGTATGGACTAGTAGATATTTATTTATGTTTATGTAACAGATGAATAGCCAATAGGTAGCCAATTGTATACTTATTAAATTATAGCAATATGGCTAGCATATTGTTGCCAATTATAGGGTACTGTACACTATAAAAATGCTGTCCTAGGATAATGGGGACGGGTGCAGCCACTGTTATAGGTGGAAAGGTGAGAAGGAAATTTAATGTATACCTGTAAGCAACAGTAAACCATAACTAACGGAAAACGATTCTTAGCGGAGTTCAATTAATAGTGATGCTTTGTCAACAATGTATACGTCATACGGTAAAATAATGAAATAGGGATTATATATTTTCTTTATTAATATTTGCTTAATATTGTACCGGTTTTTCACATTTGTTGGGAAAACTCCTGAGATAATTGAAATGTGACCTCCTTAAATTACCTTCCTACGCCGATTTTCTTTCAGAAAAGATGCTGTACTTAATAATCGGAGCAAGATCTCTGGTAGAAATTTGTCCACAGAAAAAAAAATAAACATCTTAGTAAAACCATAAGCCTCTTTGCTTCACTCAGAATCTAAAAAATTAATTTTACAAATTATGAATCGATAAAAAAAAAAATGTTCTAATTATTATTATTAAAAAAATCACCTATATAAGTAAGCTCTACCCTAAGTTAGGTGCATAAATATATATGATATAGTGGTATACATATAGGTAGATATCTTTTTAAATGGATTTTTATAAGACATGATAAGTCCTCAGTTTTAATTGATATTTTATATCTAGCCTATTCTACACAGAGCGATTCTTTTTCGTTGAACGCACATTATTTCGCAAAGTGGATTTTTTTCGTAACACATTTTTGGGTGTGAAACGATTATCGACTTGCGATTTTTCAAATAGCAACTTATATTAAAAAGTTCAATACATAGATAGAGTATAGTAATAGTTAAAATTAGTTTTGGTGTTAAAATGTTTGATTTCCACTGAAACCCGTTCACGAGATATCCCACTTTTATGTATGGGTAAGGGGAGAGTAGTGGAGAATCGTTTATGTGGCGCACGTCGGGGCGTTCAAATAGTGTTCAAATCGAAACGTCTAAATTAACAAATTTTTATATTTTAACGATTCAATTTGAATTCGAACACGACGTGCGTTTCCAGGCCCAGCGCGTCAATTATGGAATATGCATACCTAACCTACAATATTCGCGGTTTGCAATCGGCCTATTGGCTATCGCACTCAACAGTAGGTGCCTGATTAACATTTCATTTTCGAAAACCGCGAAATCGTTATCAACAGGCCAACGGCGCCTTCTTCGTGTATACCCCCCTGTAATCGGGTAGGCATAATAATGAATACGAGAAACTTGATGAAAGTATGTTTTAACAGGTAGACAAGTGACAGTTTATACGCTTGCGGTGTAATAATACCGTCTTGGCCCGGTGAAGAACCGTTTCGTCAGCTCAGAGATTCGTTCGATAATTTCTCGTTGATTCGGTAAAATCGGTCCGGTTCGAAGATTGGTTGAATTGCAATGTTAATGTGTGATAATAAAACGGTATTATCACGAACTGCGTTTTGTCGATTTCTCAATTTCGCAGGTGAGTGAATCCGACGTAGTCATTAAACTCATTTAAAATAATTACACCGTTTTCTTTAACGTTCAGTTTTCGCACACCGCGTTACATCATATTTTTCGGGTATTGACCAGTTGCACTCGGTGAGTATTTTCGAGCGTTTTCGCCATTTAAAAAAATATACCAGTTGTCCCCCAACCAAATGTACGTAGGTACCGGTCGCGCTCGACGTATAAAATACAGCGGGTACCAAACCCCGGATACGGTACAAAGATGGGCATTTCAACCTGCGCATTATTTAAAGTGCGGCCGACTTCGTTCACACTAACTCGAGCGCGAACTAAATAATAATTCCGATTATTTACTTGGCAAAACCGCGTCGGGATAACAGGGGAAAAACCACGACCTTTCCGATAGTCGATATATAGACAGCGGCGTATACAGAATTTTTTTTTTTTTTCTGGCGGGGGGGGGGGGTTGAAAAAATTTTAACCAATGAAATTGTTTTGATTTTTGCGCTTATTACAATAATACATTAAACGTTTGTGTTTTTTTTTTTTTTGAAAAATTATAAATGTACGTTCTCATTTTTCGTGCCGACGGCTTTGGCAAGTCCCGTCCGCGACGAAAAATATTCAAGTCGTCCGGCCGCTCGGCCCGCCGTTCACACACGCGAGCCGCTCGATCAGCGTTCGCTCGTTCTCGCGCTCGTGTTGTGCGAACGCCGCTGCCACGGCGTGCGGCTCCCGTACGCGTTTAAATTGACAATAAATATTATTTTTGTCAAAATGATTATGGATAGAAACCGTTATGAATGCCCGTAATAATATCATTGGACGCAGTGGCCAGCCATCGTCACCGTAATCTCCGGTAGAAAGTCGGGAAGACATTAATGCTAGCCCGAAAATAGAACGGAAAAATAATAATAATGATGATAAAAATAGAATTCCAGTGAATGATGCGTGCGTATACACACACACACATCTACATACGGTTTAATATAAACCGTACACAACTGTTCAACCGTTTTATATGAAAAAGAAAAGAAAAAAGGATGACGCGTTTTTTCGCGTTGTTCATCAATTCCATCGTTGCGCCAGTTTTTCTGAAAGGAAATCTGATTAGTGTGGTACTTTAAGGAGGTAATTTTTTTTTTTTACTTTTCCAGGAGTTTCCCAATAGATTGGGAAAACATGGTAAAAACGGGGAAAATAGAAGCAAATATTTAAGAAAATATATAATGTAAATGTAATTATTTTACCATAATGTAACACACACACACATATATATTTATATTGTTGACGAATGAACACTAAAAAACTGAACTTCAACTCAGAATTGTTTTTCGTTAGCAATGGCTAATCGTTGCGTACAGATGTACGGACAATTTGTCCTCTACCTTCCCAACTCCTCACCTGAAGCAGTGGACTACGCGCGTGGCGTAATTTGTCCCGTCTTTTTTATTTTCCAAATATTTGAATTATTATTTAACTGTATCTCATCCGGGAATCATTATTTCACTGTCATCAGTATAAGCTAAAATGATCGTCGATAATTGGTTTTTATATTATTTTTTTTTTCAAAATTAACGATTTCCCAACTTTATCTCAATAGACAAATTTGTCGATTACCGATTAAATAACAATTTATAATTCTGTCACAAGTGGTATTTTTAGTAAATATTTTGCAACTTAGACAAATTTAAACAAACATAATTTTAAAACCAAGTTAATACCTACGTATGGAGGCCCTTATTATGTTGAGGCACGGGGTTGCAGCCCCCGCCTATCCACCTTTTAAGTAGGGCTCTGATATTGATTCAACTAAAATTCGTCGGTGACTATTATATCAGTTCGCTAGATGCGGCGATTACATTGCGCATGAGTGCGTGACGTCATCGGTTCGTTTGCCGCGGCGGCGGCGGCGGCCGTATAAAATACACGACAATATTTTATCCGTTTTCGGTTTATCGTAAAATAACCGAACAGTTTCATTTGTGGCGTTTATCAATTGATAGTTCTGTTCATGTGTGTTTCCCACGACTGTAAATGGTACTATTTATAGTGGTACCCGTTTTTTATAGTATTATTATACGTTACACGTTTAATGTCCAATAAAGAAGTACCTATACATTAGTTATTGCATAATTTTTTTTTTCATTTCTATTTCCGTTCAATAACGAAATAAGGTCTAATTATTATTGCGTTTTAATTATATTTCAATTCAAAAACGTAATGTGTCCTTATAATTATTATGTATTGAAACTTGAGTTAAAAAACAATGCACCTAATCTTACATTCAGACCCGATTAGGTGAATCAAATATTCATGCCAAATTTGGTAATTTTTTTTCGATTTCACTACGAATTACAGCAGTTCTAAAAATTTGATGATTTTTAAAATCATTATACTCGACAAAAAGGTTTTACGAGTAGTTGCAGTTTTGAACTGGGTCGTCGTTATGGCCGCCGCCGCCTCGGCGAGCGAATCCGTGACGTCACGTGCAATATTATTGAACGGATAGTCACAAACGAATTTTAGTGGTATCATTGTTTTCGACGCAGTATGTACTAAAATTTAAGCGGAAAAAAATGTTTCGAGTTGGTCCTTTAAGGAATAATGTAAAACCTGGTTCATTATTGACTTATTTTCATCTGCGAAATAATAGCGGACTCGGTGCTATTTTATATCCGTATGTCATCAACAAGCTAAAGAATATAAATATTTACTTGATAACAATAAATGCCCATTACTTAGGTAAAGAATTTTGAGAATATCATAAGTACCACCAATAACATTAATGTAAAATAATTAAATAATTTCGGCGCAAAGAAAATTGCCTGCTTCGTCTAAAATAAAAAAATTGAAAACCTGTCTAAGTGATTGTCAAATTTAAATTATAAAAAAAATTTTTCTAACTACTAAATTTTGTATTTATATACAATTAAAAATTATTTAAATGTTATATACCTTTATATAAACAATGTGCAATAATAAACTCATTTAATATAAACTAAACTTGTCAAGTAAAAAAATTGGTATTAAACAATCCATATAACTTGGCAACCACTTGCACACCAATTCCATTTTTTTGGCAAGGCAAACAAATTTCTTCGTGCTACATTTGGTCCCTTTTTCATATTTATGTTTAATTGCAATACATATAATATGTATCACTACTTTTTGTAATGTTACATTATAACATATTATAATTAAATAATAATGTAATATACCTACCTAAGTCCTAAATGAATAAATTGAATAAATAATATAAAATATGAAAATAACATCAAATAGTCGGTAAATTATAATAAATTGTAATCAATACGGTACAACATATTTATTTATGGATAAAGTACCTACACTAAGTCAACTTTTTCTTTCGCGTATAAAGGCAAGACAATAAATGAACCAGATTAAAAATATAATTTTAAAATATTCATATTACCTGTATACAATATTTATTTTGTACTACATATTAGTAGTATAAAGTAATTAAAAACGATGCTAACTTACTTACTTTTCGTTAGTTTTAAATACACACATTCAGTGTCGTAGCCAGGGTGTGGTTTTGGGTGTTTGAAGGTTAAAGGTTAAAGTTAAGAAGGTTAAAGACCTCCACCACTCCCTTGGACCCCTCTAACCGCCCGTATAATGATAATTCAATACAGTATTGATCTAGGTACAATAAATAAGTTTAATACAGCCAAATGAAAATCATCTTCATTCATTTGATTATATTATGGAACATCTTTCATTTTTTTGGAAGGTTACTAAATAATATGTAGACATTATGATGATTTATCCATATAGATAAAAGTTTAATGTAGGTAATAGGTTTTCTTTAATTTGTACATTACAGAGTGTCCCATGATCTACTTATTACAATATTTCCTGAGGTAATAAAGATAATCAAATTATGATTTTTTGTGTTACCTGTAGAGATAAAGATTACAAATATTTATACTTGAATTCATATTTTTATATTTTACTAAAATACTAAAAAAAAAATAAATACTTTTTATTATATTGTTTATTAATTTTCTTGTTAATGTAGATTATATCATAATCAAAAATTAAAAAGAAGTACTTATTACCAATATGTTAAGTACTATTTAATCATTTTTAAAACAAAAAAAATCCTCGGTTAAAAATTCAATGATTTGATGTTTGGTTTAATTAAAAATTTTTTTATGCAGATCCTCAAAACTGTCTACATTCCAGTAAATCAGTTGAACATTTAAACTCTGCTTTAAAGATGCAATCTAATCACATTATTCTAGTAAATGTAAAAAATGTGGCGCTGTCAGGTTATTAAAAACATTTTCTTGATTTTAGTAATGCTAAATAATATATCTTCAATACCTGAATACATTCAAGTGTATATACATAGTAAAATTGATATTTTCAAATAATTTTAGAACTCATTACTAGTAATATACTGCCTGGCAGTGTAGTTTTCATGGCAGGATTTGTGAGTTTTGATGAAATATATACTAGAAAACATGAAGACCGGAGGAAATTTATTTGTCTTTTAGATATGGTTAACACATTTTTTTTTTTGGGTAAATATGTACAATTTTTTTTCTGATATTTTTATTGGCTGTTTGTTTTTGTTATTTGTTTTAGGAGTTAAATCTAAATTGGACGATTGTTTTTATAGAGGCAAAGTTATAAAACAAATTAACCACTTTGTTTACCAAATTGAATATATTGATTTAATTGGTACTATTGATGCATTTATTTTTAATTTATTTGAAATTCCTAATGACTATATGGTAATGTATTAATAAACTCCTATTGCACCAGTGTATTATTGCTATACTTACCTATTACTACACTATTATTACCATTACATTATATTCATTAGCATTGTTGCTTTTTTTATAGATTTCTTCAAATGTTATACGTGTAGACCTCAAAGGGTTCAAAGGATTGAATTCTAGATCACTGGATTTAGTTGGTGTTGATTACATTAATAATTTATTAACAAATTGTAAACCAATGGTTATTGTAATTATTTATACATTTTGTGAAAATAGCTAGAACTTTTTTCTTTTTATCTATTTATCGATTTATCTGCATATAAAAATGAATATGTATGAATAGTGCATATATGATTGATAAGATTTATAAGGTTATCCATTTAAGTGTCTACACTGGATATTTTTAATATATATTATTAGTTTAAATAATAAAAATAAAAAAATTAGAAAAAAAGTTAATAATTTATATATATATATTAAATTTATAAGTAAAAATTAAAAGTAAAGTATGTACCTATTATTTATACATAATTTACAATTTTAATAATAATACATGTCAAGATTTAAGGTTTTATTATAAATACAACGTCCTATAATCTCATATTTATAATTTTTCTACAAATTTACGTATAAGTATATCTATGTAGAATTCATGACTCTTTAATTTTTAATACCCTACTATAATAGTCATTTTACATTATTATAATAATCGTAAACATTATACCTATCCAAAAAATGAATTCCTCGTATTTTACACTTATTTATTATATTTGAACATAAGAATAATATATCTATGCCTTTTATAGATAATGTCTTTTAATACTGTGTTCATAATTTTATTCAATCGTATTTAGGAACTTTCTCCAGTAGAAGACTTTAAAAATGTAATTTTAAAATTAATAGATGTTGAAAGTATTAATGAACGATTATGTAGATTACTTAATGATGACAGTACATTAATATCATATATAGTAAATAAACCTGCACCTGGTATGTTATATTATTATTTATTTCATATTTTTATTAGATGGTTAATGGATTGGGTTAAATAAAATATGCCTATAACAATGTAATATGTTGACCAATTTTCATCTTTTATTTAATGCTTTTTAATGCTTTAAATCAGCTCAATAAGAATTATTTTTCATTATCAAATTTAACAAATACACAGTGACCACAATTCATCTGAATTTTTAGAAAATGTCTCTGGGCAAGAAATAAATATAGACAACAATCAATCTAAATTAATCAATGGAGATTTAGTGAATATCGTTACATTCATTGACATACACAATATATTTGTACGCAAAATCAAAGATGAGAATAACAATTTTTTCAATTTCATTGACAAAGTCAATTTATACAGTTCAGCAGGTATTTATTACATGTTACAGTTGCTGATTAACATTACTACCTATTTAATATTTATTTACAATCAATGATAAATTATACCAAATGTATTTTTAAACTGTTTTTTTTTTTTATTTGTTAAGCATCTCCCATTGATAAATTACCCAGATTAAATGACATTGTTGGAATCAAATTATTATCAGATGGACTATTTAATAGGGCAAAAGTTTAAAAAAAAAAATGAAGTAAGATACAAAGTACAATTTATTGATTACATTACAGAGTTGAAGAGTATGTTCATTTATCAGTTATTGCATATTTCCCTACTGAATTAAAAGAAGTAAGTTCTTTTATTTCAATTAAGAGAATGAGATATTAATAATTTATTACAGTTAATAATATATTTAATCTGTTTATTATTAATAAATATGGTAGTTTTTAAAATTTGTTTAAAATACAGTAGACATTGATTATTAAAATTGTCCACTCATAAAACAAGAAAAACGCAACAATTTTCTTTTAATATCAGAGTATAAATATTCTGTTATAATAATGTTTATACTATAATGATAAAATTTATAATATGACAATTTAATCCTTTTAAAGTTGTTTATAACAGATGTCTACTGCAATAAAAGTATAAATATAATCTGTCTTTATTTAATTTTTATTTGGATAAGTATAAAATCTAAAACATATAATTGATATTTATCATAATAATTATTAATTTTGTTATTTTATCTGCTTATTTTATAGGCACCTAAATTTTCTATTCTGTAAATTAAATAAGATTGCCCATGAATATGTTTAATTAGTGAGAATTAAACAATAACAGTAGTAAGTAAATTCAAATTTATTTATAGATCTATTTATTTAATAATTATATTTAAAATAGGAATACATTGAAGAAGGCACAAGTGACACAATACTGAAAACTAATGAGAATTAAGATATCAATAGTCATCTGAGGACATTGATTTTTGGAAGCTATGAGAAAAAAAATCTAATCAGTAAAAATAATTTGAAGAAAAGACAAAAATAAAGAGGTAGGTACAGATTATATGTCATTTATTATTATTAATAATCATTGATTTTAGAATATACAAACAAACTCTACTGTACAAAATAGTATCAATAGTTAGAAACTGGTTATCTGTTGGAGAACCTTGTCATAGTGTAGAATGATAGTATGTGGCTGTTACACCCTACCCATCTACATTATAAATTAAATTAAAGAATAAGTTTTGCATTTGTATACACATATTAATATTAGTTTAAGAAAATTGTTTACG